TCAAACCTCACACCCTAATCTAAATGCACCCTCCCATCCACACGCTGTATCCGCGGAAGATTAATGTAATTCAGCTCGCGAAGCACCGGGTCGATGGACAGGCGCTAGGAAGAGTATATCGGGCCTCCCAATCGATCGCCGCCTGTTTTTTGGGGATGGCTTAGGGAGCGGGAGAGTGGGGGGGGGGGGGGGTGCAGGGGTCACGGCGCAGGGAGGAGGTAATGGTTGAAGAAATGAAGCCAATGACCAAATCACCCCGCACCGCGCCCCAATCTCGTCGCGCCTCGAGTGCTAAGCGGGGCCCTCGTTGAGGGTCGCCTTTGAATGCGAGAGGCTTCGTCGGGCGCTCGGTGCTGCGAGGTGCCCAGCAGCGGAATGGATTGGAGTTCTTTGAATATTTTCTTTCGCACGGCTGCTGATGTCGATGCAGAGCAGCTAAACGAACATTTCACAATTCAGGTGGTCAAGCCAGATAACCGCGTCGGGGGTAGCGGAGTGGTGTATCACCATCGCCGTGATGTCTCCTTCGTGTTCGCGGCTCGGGGCATTGCGTCGTTAGACATTGTACGGTGTCCATTCTGGATGACCGCAGTCGCACACTACTACTACTACTACTCGAGAGTTTTTGATTTTCCATTTGTGACATCAGGTATCCGCGTCTGCCATGGTTTGTGCAGTGGATGTGATTTCGGGTGGACCATGAGCTTCGTGGGAAATCAAACCCAGGGATCGTATGCGCTGGGTCTTTCTTGAATCTATCTGTGCGGAGCATTCCGTGACTCCCCATGCATGCATGGTGGGGTGTCTATGGGTACAGTACTCCAGTCTCCTGCCACACGGAGCCAACCCGCGCTCGTTGATGAAATTTGCACAAATATTAAAATTCAGGACTCTCCAGAAACCCAATACATCTTCTTCAAGAGGGCCCCTGCTACATTGGGATTATTCGGCCAATTCCTTTGCAAAATATCTCGCGGTTTGCTTCCTGTAGGAGTATAAAGCGTAGAACCCGGAGATAACTCAGTACGCATTCGAGGGGGCAACAGTCAAAGCTCTGTACACCACACGCACCAATAACTGAGATGCCTCATTTCTAGAAGACGCTGCTGGAACCATCAACCGCATCAGAACATCAAGAGGCCGATGCTGCATCACGCACCCTTCATGAATAGAACATTATCGACACAAGCCACAGGAGTGGGACTGTGGCCATGCAACGCTGTGGACCGTAACCCCCGTGGTCTGCGCTCCTTCCACGGACGAGGAGGGGAGCAGAACAACGACACGAACTCTCTCTCTCTCCTGAAGCCCTCTCGTCTTGGCCAGGAGACCGCGACAGTGGCATTTCGCTCATGAATATATCGCCATCATTCGCAAGGATAGAATATGGAGCAGTGAGACGCGCGATGCATAGCCAAACAGCAACACTCGCAGACGAATGCCGACTCCCCCAATCACGGGGGCCTCTCCATCTCATTCTCGTCCCGAATGTTAAATCCCAACTCCACGTGGCCGCCGATCCATCGGCGTAATTCACGATTCGTAAAGCCGTCGTCCGTATAACGCACGGTGACCGCGATATTGATTTATTTATTCTTTCTCGTTCTCCTCCTCCTCCTCCTCCCCTCTCTCTCTCTCTCCGCGTCCGATCTGGTGTTGCGAGCGACGCGCTGTTGACCCTCCAGCACGCCGGACACGTGACCTCTGGGGCGAGTGCACGAAGGCGCGGGAGCCGACGGCGGCATTAGCGCCACGATGATGAATGGAATTCATTTGTGTCTCGGCGTCCGTGGATCAGCAAGTACTGCATCGCCAAAAAAAGTCGATATGCATGAATGGATGTGTTTAACAATGTGTGCGCGTGTCCGTGCGGATGCGTGCTTGTGTGTGTGTGTGCGCGCGCGCGTGTTGGATGTGTGTGGACGCATGCATTTGTGTGTATGTGTGATTGTATGCGTGATTGTATGTGTGAATGCGTGTACTGTGGGGAGCGGTTAGCGCACTACGCTACAAACCCGGCGACCCGAGTTCGATTGCCGCTCACGGTAAATGCCAGTGACGGTCATCTGAATCGGTCCTGGGCCTCCCCTAGGTCGACTCAGCCTCAATTGAGTGCCTGGTGCGATGTGTAAACATCGTCACTGGGGAGACAAAGGCAGTCGGGCGTGGTGCTTGCAACCCACTCCCTCATATGCCGTGCCGGCCTCCATAAGTGCTGCTCGCTGACAGCACTTGACCGAAAAGTCTGTCAAAGCTATATGGGAGATCTTTGTCTTTTTCTTGTATGCATGCATTTATATTCGATACGTGTTTGTGGATGTGTCTTATTATAAATGTATATATGTGTGCTCGTGTGCCACATGTATTGTATATGTTTGTATGCTTGCTATATGGCAGCATTTGCTCCAACATTCTGTATGTCTATAGGAGCGGTCTTTGTCTCTCTGTACCTGTGTGTGTGTCTATGGATGTGTAGTCGTGTGTGCTGCATACAGGTGATTAGGTGTTCGCAAAAAGCACTTACCCCAGCAGCCTTTGTAGGTCATTCGGGGGACATGTCTTCGTGTGTGTTTGTGTGTGTGTATCGACTCAGCTTCAAATGAGTACCTGGTGCGGTGTGTAGTAAACATCGCCATTGGGGAGACAAAGGCGGTCAGGCGTGGTGCTGGCCACCCACCCCGTCCCCTAGTGTGCCGTGTCGGCCTTCATAGGTCCCACTCGCTAACAGCACTTGCCCCAACAGCCTTGTTAAAGACGTTACGGGGGATCTTTGTGTGTGGAGATCTCACCGAGCCGGTGACCCACCTCTTGATTACAAGTCCAGCGTGCTGAACCATTTCCTCCACTGCACCCGGGATCCTCCAATCCACCTGGACCTGCGTTCCACTGCCACCAGTGCCGTGCAGCGCGTGCTTCGTGAGGTTCTGGTTGTGCACCGACAACTCGATAAACAACTCGTGAACGTTCGGAGTTGGTAGCAGACAAAGTTTGATTAAAGACTCGACTGCAACATCTGTGTGCCCAGCTCAGTCCGTCCCCGTAGCGCGACCGCACAATTTAAATACAAAAAAAATGAAACACACACAGAGAGCGGCTCGGCGATTGGAAACAACAGAGAGGGCATCGGAGAGGTGGGAACTTCTCCCCTCCACCACCGTGATTCGCGAAGTTCGCCCCAATTGAAATGTGTAAGAGTCTTTTTTATTATTATTATTTTAGTTTGCTTGCGTGATGGAGCCAAGATTGTCCTGAAATAAAATCCACGCGTACGAGGGAGAAACACAAACACACACACACACACAAAACCGTGGGTGCACAGAGGAAACCGTCAGCAGCCTACTTGCTGTACTGCGTACAATAGGGGCACACCGCTTCGGTGTCCTTCACGTAGCAGGAGGTGGTTGCCGCGTGGCAACACGTGGCTGTGTTTCTTTGCGCGAACCACCAACCCCCCCCCACTCCCAAATGCGTTGTTAAGTCTCTGTAAGTTCAACTTGTATGAATACGGTAATGCGCAGCCCCCTTGACCTATCCACTGCTGGATGTAGGCCTCTCACACCCCCTCCCCTCCCCCCATGGGGAGCTGTTCGACCATACTTCACCACGCGCGTATGTAATCGGTAAAAGCGGGGAGGGGGGGGGGGCGTACATGAGCATCGGTTCAGATAAATCGCTCGCCACTGATGTGTCAAGCCGTGGCCGGGATTCGACCTCGGGTCGCCGGGTTCTGAAGGGCGCCTCTAGGAAGTCCCTCGCGAGGGAGTTTCGACCTCCTCGCGTGGCCGGGTTCCGTTGGGCAGCGCCGCTGACCGCCGCGGCGCCGCTACCGCTCAATAACTAGCGTCGAGGAGCCACGGATTCTCGTTCGAGGATCCGTGACGCGGTCGGATGACGAAAATAATGACACCGGTGTGATAGAAACGACAAACAAGCAAACCAACCGACAAAACAACGATGCAAATGAGAAAATGAAAACGATCACAGCAACACTTTCTGCGCCGGCGACCCGTCTTGAGAAATATCCACAGGCAAACGGAGAGACGGAGAGACAGAGAGAGAGAGAGAGCGAGCGACTTGAGGTGGGGTGGGTGGGTGTAATAAAATCTGTTTAAATTAGTCTCAAACATGGTCACATCGTCCCCTTTGCAGACTTCTCTCCTCGCGTGCCAAAGTCAAAGCCCTCTCCAGCGGAAGACCAAACCCCCGCGCGCGGAATGAGCCCTCTCATCGGCACGTGGCACGTCGCCACCTTGGCTCGTTGACGTCGTTGTCCGGACTCCTCCGATGACATTTCTCCGTCTCGCGGGCAAAAAAATAAATAAATAAAAAACGTGACAGCGGGCGAAACCGCTTTTGACAAACTTTTGCATCTCATTTTGATTGATCACGATCTGGCAGCCGCGGCTTGTGACTGTGACGACGACGACGAACGGAATTGCTTTGAGAGGGGGTTGAGAGGGGGGGCGAGAGGGGGGCGAGAGGGGGGGCGAGAGGGGGGGGGGGCGAGGGGGGGGGGCGAGAGGGGGGGGCGGCTCCCCGGTTCGTGGCTACGTTGTCGATCCGAAGTTTCGCCGCGAGCTTGACCGAGACTCGCGAGGCTCGCCGCCGTCGTGAAGTTTGGGACATCTCTCGGCGTCGTTGACAAATGGACGCACTTCGTCATGTTTGACAAGCACTACGGAACCCCCCCCCCCCGCCCCCCACTCTAAACCACTCTAGCCACCCCATCCCCCCACCGCCCCGATGAGCGTTTCCTCGCCGCGTCTGCGGGAGCCTCGGAGCGCGCTAAGGTCACGTCGACCCGGGCGAATTTACAAACGCGCGGCGCCGCGAATTGGATTTTTTTTCGGGAACACGGCGGAGTGGCTCGTTTGGGACGGATCAGTGGCCGCGGTCGCAGATAAGGTCACGGATTGCCGGCGCAGCGGCCGTGCTGGTGGTGCCGATCGTGGTGTTTGTATTCGTCGTTGTCGTCGTTGTTGTTTTTGGTACATTTTTGGCCGATTTTTTTTGTTGTTTGGGGGCGGAGGGGGGTGAGGAAGTGGATGGCGATAATGGAGATGTTTGTGTTTGGAACACACGACGGTGTATTCCGACTGTGGCGATGGTGATCTGGTGTATGTGTTTTGTTATTGTTGTTGTTGGTAATTTTTTTTGAGCGGTGGTGGGGGATGGCAGAGAGGTGAGCGGGGATGGTGATGCGATGGAGAGACGTTTGAATAGCGCGTCTGGTCGGATCTGACTGCAAGCGTTTCTAAAGGGCAACATGTGATGAAACCGTGCGGTGGCTTTCTCAAGCCCCGTCTGGAAGAGAGGCACCTCCCACTGGAAGAAGTTCTCGAGGGTGACTCTCAAGAGTCCCTCGAGCGGGTATTCCGGCCTCCTCTCCCACGTTGGCTGGACATCCTTTTGAAAGAGATGGACGTAACCCACTGCTTGACCCCACCACTACGATGAACCCACTTATACTGCTGGGTGGACAATAACCGTTACGCCACGGTGGGTGGCAGCGTCCGCCTGAGTTGAATTGGAGGAATTTAAGCCGCGAACCGGAACTCGTTTTGTGTTTTTTATTATTTGTGTCGTTTATCCCTGCACACGTTGACTTTTTGGGAAGCGGCCGAAATTAAAATTTCTCTCGCGAAGCAAATAATAAAAAAAAAATGGTCAGAATAGGAATGATTATATTCTAATAATAGTTATTAACAATGTCCTTTATATACGCAAGAAAAGCCTAATCGAATTTCAATAGTTGTTTTAATGAGGGTCCCACTGCTCCATTGGGATATTGGCCAATGACATTTATGGGCGTGATGGGAGCGAGATGTCAACTATCTCGCCTGGTTTACAGGAGGTCGTGGGTTCGATCCCGACCCTGACGCCTGCTGCTGTATATTTGGAGTTTGCGTGTTCTCCCCGTGGTAATGTGGATTTTTATCCGGGTCCTGTAGCTGCTATAAATTTCCACACGATGAGCCACTGCTTAGCTTTTGCGATCTGACCAAGGTTGGGTGGTTGGGTGGATTCACGTTGATCTGGTCATTATTGAATGAAGTGACCAATCCTGGTATGGCGATCCATGATTTATGTCTTAACAATGTACGGAGCGGCAGCCTAGGAGTGGAACCCGTCCCAGAGGAGGTGGAGCGATGAAATCGACTCGCGTCTTCACCCAGCAATGCATTGATCATGGCTGATGATAATTGATGATGATGATGAAGTGACGTCACCTGCCTGCTCTCACCTGTAAAATAATCTCCGTTCTTCCTCGAAGAGGGGAGGCCGGAATGGTCCACTTATTCTCGATTCTGGTTGCATTGTATGGAGCAACTGCCCCCTATCACTCAGCCACTACATCTCCACGCACACGTCCAGCGTGCCCAGCCCTTCTCATCTCGCTGCGCGGGTTGACTCAGCCCAACGATGAAATGGCTTTTGGGGTGAATTCCACGCGAAGAACCGTTGTGCCGCATTGCAACGTCACCGGTAAAAGACAAAAAAATTGCAATTGAGCAAAATGAACAGAATTAACGAGACTGCGTAGGGTTTACTTTTTTTCCCGCGGCCGAGCTGCGGAGATGCGCGACGCGGGCTCCGTTTTGTGTGCCGCGACTTGTGTCCGACGGCTTCGACGACTCGTGTTGACGAAGAAGCTCCCAGGAGCTGGGTGGTGAAACGTCGGACACCGTGCCGTCTTCGAGAGCCCAGCAGAACCCCAAAAAAACAACTCCTCAGTTGGTTGTAAATAACTCGCCCGGGTGCTGTGGACAATCGTGGCTCCGGCTCCCGAGCTTGCGGATGATGCCTAATTGTAACGACGTTAAGTTATTTATTTGTGAAAAGTATTGTTTCATTTCTTCTCCCCCCCCCCCAACCCCACCGTCCCCCTCCACCTTCCAGCAATTTTATTCCCACTGCGCCATCGGTCGCTTTGCCGTGTCTTCGAGACGAAGAATCCCTTTGGAACTCTCTCAGAGCGCAGAAGAAAGCCCACTGAAGCAGACACCACAGAACCACTTCGGAGACCTTGAGTTTGAGCGTGAGAGAAATGAGGCTACAGCCGCATTCCGCCACCCGTTTCGCTTTTTTTTTGTTGTTGTTAAAGTTCCACTTTCGAAAGCTCCACCGCGGGGTCGGATCCTCACCGATTGATCCGTGCCAGGCTCCAGAAGCACCCCCTCCCCCGGCGGTTTTGTCCCCCGCGTGTTGTTCGGGGGCACAGGACAAACCCCAGCGGTGACGCCGTCGGAGAGAGCGCGATCGGAGAGATCGCGAGATGCCGGCGCTGAGATGATCCCGGCTCCCTTGACGACCTCGAACGTACGCTTCTCCCTCTCGCTGCAAGGTGGTCCCGATGTGGTCTCACGATCGCCCCGTTATGTTCCCGCTACTTGATCCCATTGTGGCCCCGTTATGGTCCACGTTTCCGATTGAACACACAGTGAAAGTTTGACAATTTTTCCGAGCCGTGCGAGCGGTGGACGCTTCTGGCGCGGCCGAACCGAGCTGCGAGGCGACCGTCAGGGCTGAACGTGCGCCCTGCGGGGTGACTGCACGGGGCACTCCCACGCCGCTTCCTGCAAGACGTCTGCCCAGCGTGGAAGAGTAGGCCAAGATAACATCTAGAGAAGGTGGAGGGGGTGGGGCTCTCTCTCTGGATAAGACGTCCGTCTCCCAGCAGCAGCGGCATGGGCAAAGCAATTGCACGGCTGCACCTTTGCACCGACGCGAGCTGTCCTGACCGTGCGATTGGTTGATTTTTCGGGATTGAGAGCCAGTGGCGGCCGGTGTCTCGTACAAAGTCACGCTCGGTATCAAAAGGACGTCGTTTCCGCTCTCTTGCGAGCTGAGTGGTGGCGGCCGAGTGAGTTGGGAGGGGGGGAGGGGTGATGGGGTGGGGGGGGGTGATGGTGGGGGGTTTCACCGACGTCCACCGCACTTCCCGCGTCGTCCGCGCTCGCGCAGGGGATCTCTGCGTCGTCCACGGTGTGGGCGTCGAACTTTGACCCGCCACTAGTGGCGGTCAAACGCGGCCGTGGCGGCCGGGGTGGCGGCCCCGCGCGTCGCCGTGCTGTAGTAGTAGGGGGAACCTGCGCACGCCCAGACACAGAGACAAAGATGCCCCCATGTAGCCTTTCGACAAAACTGCTGGGCCCAAGTGCTGTCGAGCGGGCGGCAACGCCTCGTGAAGGCCGCACGGGGGAATCTTTGTCTTTGTTGTGAGAACTCACCCAGAAGCCCCGAGTTGGTAAATCTCCACGTGTCGTTGTAGGTTGCGTACTGAGCGTGTGGGTACGGGTTCCCGGAGAACTCGGGCGCTTTAGAGGAGAAATCAAAACGCAAAAGCATTTATTTGGTCATTTTTTGTAAATTTTTGTCATTTTTGGTAATTTTTTGGGGTAATTTATGATATTTAAAAAAAAAAATAATGTTTTCTTTTGTCATTTTTGATATATTTTTTTGGTCATTTATGGTCATTTTTTGGTATTTTTAAAGACATTTTTTTGGTAATTTCCCCCGGCACCCTACCGCCCCCCCCTCGCCCCCCTACACCCACCCCCAACGTCATCGTGATCTCAACTATCTGTGGCGCGTCATCACGAGATCAATATTTTTTTCGGATATCTCTCGGAGCGACGCGAACCTCTTCTCAAGGGGGGCGGGGGGGCGGGGGCGTGGAACGAGCCACGGAAGCGGACACCACAGAGCTACCTCTGAGATCGCTTCGAGTGACGCTCTGGTCCACACACAGCAGTAGAGGGGGGAGGGGGGGAGCACTTTCCCCACCCGCTCTGCTTATGACGGTTACAGTCACATTCGCACTCTCGTGTTAATTCAGAACCAAATTGAATGCGATGGGACTTTTAAAAATATTGTATTTTTTCCCCGCGGTAAACTTAGCCAAGCTTACGACCAAACCATCCGGATGTGTGCGATCTCATCGGATCTCAGAGGCTAAGCGGGCTTGAGCCTGGACAGTGCTTGGATGGGGGGGGGGGGGGGGCAACGTGAGCAAAACAAAGACACGTGCAGCAGGCACTGCGGCCGTCTGGAACGCTCTTCCTTACGATATTCGGAAGCCACTGGAGCTGTGCACTTCTAAATCTAGGATTGAACACTCATTTATTTATAACCGCTTTTTGTGTTTAGTTTGTTGTCCTTCCCCCGCATCTCCGATTGGCACGGTTGGCTACGTACGGTGCGAAATAAGTTCAACGTACAGGAGAAAGCTTTGGAGCAATGTCCACTACCGCTGTTCTGCACACCACACACATTCACGAACAACTGACCGGCGCAGTGAAGTATGGACAAACATTCCACTGGTCGAGGCTGTCTCAGCACAAACTGCATCGCGAACAAAAATAGTGGCGATTTAAAGCTGGGAGATGCGCACAGACAGCGAGATGGCAACGTGCACACGCAAGGTAAAGAATAATACCGGATGTGGTGTGCCGGGTGCGGACGTATGTCTAGGATGCTGACCCAGGCACATTCGGCTGCAAATATGCTCCGTGTTCATCGATGGGTCTCTGTGAGAATCTATGCGAGTCTCTGTAAGTCTATGAGTCTATGCGACTCTTACATGAGTCTTTGAGCTTACAGTGAGGGAAAAAAATATTTGATCCCCTGCTGATTTTGTACGTTTGCCCACTGACAAAGAAATGATCAGTCTATAATTTTAATGGTAGGTTTATTTGAACAGTGAGAGACAGAATAACAACAAAAAATCCAGAAAAACGCATGTCAAAAGTGTTATAAATTGATTTGCATTTTAATGAGGGAAATAAGTATTTAACCCCCTCTCAATCAGAAAGATTTCTGGCTCCCAGGTGTCTTTTATACAGGTAACGAGCTGAGATTAGGAGCACACTCTTAAAGGGAGTGCTCCTAATCTCAGCTTGTTACCTGTGTAAAAGACACCTGTCCACAGAAGCAATCAATCAATCAGATTACAAACTCTCCACCATGGCCAAGACCAAAGAGCTCTCCAAGAATGTCAGGGACAAGATTGTCGACCTACACAAGGCTGGAATGGGCTACAAGACCATTGCCAAGCAGCTTGGTGAGAAGGTGACAACAGTTGGTGCGATTATTCGCAAATAGAAGAAACACAAAATAACTGTCAATCTCCTTCGTCCTGGGGCTCCATGCAAGATCTTACCTCGTGGAGTTGCAATGATCATGAGAACGGTGAGGAATCAGCCCAGAACTACACGGGAGGATCTTCTCAATGATCTCAAGGCAGCTGGGACCATAGTCACCAAGTAAACAATTGGTAACACACTACGCCGTGAAGGACTGAAATCCTGCAGCGCCCACAAGGTCCCCCTACTCAAGAAAGCACATATACATGCCCGTCTGAAGCTTGCCAATGAACATTTTAATGATTGAGAGGACAACTGGGTGAAAGTGTTGTGGTCAGATGAGACCAAAATGGAGCTCTTTGGCATCAACTCAACTCGCCGTGTTTGGAGGAGGAGGAATGCTGCCTATGACCCCAAGAACATCATCCCCACCGTCAAACATGGAGGTGGAAACATTACGCTTTGGGGGTGTTTTTCTGCTAAGGGGACAGGACAACTTCACCGCATCAAAGGACGATGGACGGGGCCATGAACCGTCAAATCTTGGGTGAGAACCTCCTTCCCTCAGCCAGAGCATTGAAAATGGGTCGTGTATAGGTATTCCAGCATGACAATGACCCAAAACACACGGCCAAGACAACAAAGGAGTGGCTCAAGAAGAAGCACCTTAAGGTCCTGGAGTGGCCTAGCCAGTCTCCAGACCTTAATCCCATAGCAAATCTGTGGACGGAGCTGAAGGTTCGAGTTGCCAAACGTCAGCCTTGAAACCTTAATGACTGGGAGAAGATCTGCAAAGAGGTGTGGGACAAAATCCCTCCTGAGATGTGTGCAAACCTGGTGGCCAACTACAAGAAACGTCTGACCTCTGTGATTGCCAACAAGGGTTTTGCCACCAAGTACTAAGTCATGTTTTGCAGAGGGGTCAAATACTTATTTCCCTCATTAAAATGCAAATCAATTTATAACATTTTTGACATGCGTTTTTCTGGATTTTGTTGTTGTTATTCTGTCTCTCACTGTTCAAATAAACCTACCATTAAAATTATAGACTGATCATTTCTTTGTCAGTGGGCAAACGTACTCACTGTGTCACAATCACTGATGGTGAGGGGGTAGCGTTGATTACTCACAGGGTCACAATAACTGATGGCGGGTGGGTAGCGTTGAGTACTCACTGGGTCACAATCACTGATGGTGGGTGGGTAGCGTTGATTACTCACTTTGTCACAATCACTGATGGTGGGTGGGTAGCGTTGAGTACTCACTGGGTCACAATCACTGATGGTGGGTGGGTAGCGTTGATTACTCACTGTGTCACAATCACTGATGGTGGGTGGGTAGCGTTGAGTACTCACTGGGTCACAATCACTGATGGTGGGTGGGTAGCGTTGATTACTCACTGTGTCACAATCACTGATGGTGAGTGGGTAGCGTTGAGTACTCACTGTGTCACAATCACTGATGGTGGGTGGGTAGGGTTGAGTACTCACTGGATCACAATCACTGATGGTGGGTGGGTAGCGTTGATTACTCACTGTGTCACAATCACTGATGGTGAGTGGGTAGCGTTGAGTACTCACTGTGTCACAATCACTGATGGTGGGTGGGTAGCGTTGAGTACTCACTGGATCACAATCACTGATGGTGGGTGGGTAGCGTTGAGAACTCACTGGGTCACAATCACTGATGGTGAGTGGGTAGCGTTGATTACTTACTGTGTCACAATCACTGATCGTGGGTGGGTAGCGTTGAGTACTCACTGAATCACAATCACTGATGGTGGGTGGGTAGCGTTGAGAACTCACTGGGCACCACTCACTGATGGTGGGTAGGTGGGTGGGTAGCGTTGAGTACTCACTGGGCACCACTCACTGATGGTGGGTGGGTGAGTGGGTAGCGTTGAGAACTCACTGGGCACCACTCACTGGTGGTGGGTGGGTGAGTGGGTAGTGTTGATTACTCACTGGGCACCACTCACTGATGGTGGGTGGGTGAGTGGGTAGTGTTGATTACTCACTGGGCACCACTCACTGATGGTGGGTGGGTGAGTGGGTAGCGTTGAGAACTCACTGGGGATCACTCACTGATCGTGGGTGGGTGAGTGGGTAGTGTTGAGTACTCACTGGGTACCAATCACTGATGGGGGGTGGGTGAGTGGGTAGCATTGAGAACTCACTGGGCACCACTCACTGATGGTGGGTGGGTGAGTGGGTAGTGTTGAGAACTCACTGGGTACCACTCACTGATGGTGAGTGGGTGAGTGGGTAGCGTTGATTACTCACTGGATCACACTCACTGATAGTGGGTGGGTGAGTGGGTAGCGTTGAGAATTCACTGGGCACCACTCACTGATGGTGGGTGGGTGAGTGGGTAGGGTTGAGTACTCACTGGGGATCACTCACTGATTGTGAGTGGGTGAGTGGGTCGCGTTGAGAACTCACTGGGGATCACTCACTGATAGTGGGTGTGTGAGTGGGCAGCATTGAATACTCACTGGGCACAACTCACTGATGGTGGGTGGGTGAGTGGATAGGGTTAAGAACTCACTGGGCATCACTCACTGATGGTGGGTGGGTGAGTGGGTAGGGTTGATAACTCACTGGGTACCACTCACTTATGGTGGGTGGGTGAGTGGGTAGCGTTGAGGACTCACTTATGGTGGGTGGGTGGGTGAGTGGATAGCGTTTTGTACTCACTGATGGTGGGTGGGTGGGTGAGTGGGTAGCGTTGAGGACTCACTGATGGTGGGTGGGTGAGTGGGTAGCGTTGTATACTCACTGATGGTGGGTGGGTGAGTGGGTAGCGTTGTGTACTCACTGATGGTGGGTGGGTGAGTGGGTCGGGTTGAGTACTCACTGGGTACCATGCCAGCCAGGGAGGAGGTCGGGTAGCCAGCCTGGCCGCCTGGGGGTACGTGTGGCGGGTACCCGGGCAGTGTTGTGTTGCCCATTTCTCTACCTGTTGAACACACAAAGACAAAGATCCCCCGTATAGCCTTCAACAGACCGTTGGGGCAACTGCTGCTAGCGAGTAGCACCGATGAAGGCTGAAACGCCACACGATATAGTGGGTGGCCAGCACCACGCCCGGCTGCCTTTGTCTCTCCAGTGGCGATGTTTTCCCACTGCACCAAGTACTCATTTGAGGCTGAGTCGACCTTCAGGAGGCCCAGGACAGATTCAAATAATCGGCACTGGTGTCGATTATTTATCGCAGCGTGCTAACCATTGCACTACCGCTCCCCATGCACACACACACACACACCGTCCATATATCCACACCATCCTGTGTATCCGATTCAGACTGTCAGGGCAAGTGTTGGTATACAGGGTTTAAGCATCAACTCTGTCCATCCATCCATAACTCTCATAAGGACGATCCGATATGAACGAAGCTTTCCCACAAAGTTGTGCTGTGAGACTTACCCTATTCATAACCTGGACACAAACCAATGCAAAGAGGGTGACGCATTTGCCATGATGCATTTGCCATGATGCTTGCTACAAATGATACCTTTCAATACCTTTCTGATCTCGTCATAAGGGGCACAAGCCATCATCCTGCGAACTCCGGCCATTCAGCAAGGACTGTGGCCACTGCATCGCGCGCCGCGCTTTCAGATGCGCTTCCGCGGCCGTCTGGAACCCTCTGCCTTCAGATATTAGGAAGACACTGGAGCTGTGCACTTTTACATCTCGAATGAAAACTCATTTATTTTAGAACAGTTTTTTTTTCGTGCGTCAGTTTGTTGTTCTTCCCCTGCACCTCCAATTAGCACGGTTTGGCTACGTACGGTGCGAAAGAAGTTCAACATACGTACATACATACACACACGCGTTCCGTGTCTCAGCGCGACTCTGTTGACTCCTCGCACCGACACCTCGTCCTTCCCGTTAACCCTCGTCCCCATGCACCTTAACTGTGAATCAATACGCTATCAATATCAGCTCGATCGTTCATCAATACCCAGTCGATATGAATGACTTTGCTCGCGCGAGCCAGAACGTCAAACTCGTGGAGGCGGTCTCCTTCCCCTTGCCCGTTCAGGCCAGGGGGCAGCCGACCTCCAGACCTGGGGGTCATCGTTCTCGCCGCAGCGCTGGACTCAGCTGCTGTCAGGTGAACCCAGGTGAACCCAGGTGAACTCAAACAAACTCACGTGGACCCAGGTGAACCCAGGTGAACTCAAACAAACTCACGTGGACCCAGGTGAACCCAGGTGAACCCGGGTGGACTCAGGTGAGCCCAGGTGAACTCAAACAAAATCACGTGGACTCAGGTGAACCCAGGTGAACTCAAACAAACTCACGTGGACCCAGGTGAACCCAGGTGAACCCGGGTGGACTCAAACAAACTCACGTGGACTCAGGTGAACCCAGGTGAGCCCAGGTGGACTCAGGTGAGCCCAGGTGGACTCGACTCGGGTGGACTCAGGGCCTCCCACGCCACTAATGAAGTGGCTATTGCTTGGCTCGGCAAAACGAGTGCGCGGTAATAATAATAATTCCACAGAGTTTTGAACAAATGCGCTGCGTGTTGTTGTTGTGCTTGTACATGACTGCTAACGCAGCAGCAGCAGCAGCATCGGGCAATCACCAAATAATTCTTCCACTTAATCTCCTTGCCATCCGTGTCTCTCTCTCTCTCCTGTCCACTTCTCTCTGTTCGTGGCTACGTCCCTCAACCGAGAGGAGACTTCCATCCCCACTCGTTTCTGAGCCCCTCCATCACCTGCCACGAGCCTCTCACCTGCCACGAGCCTCTCACCTGCCACGAGGCTCTCACCTGCCACGAGCCTCTCACCTGCAACGAGTGGGTAGGCTTGGTGAGCCGTGTGAGCCCCACTCAGTCCTTTCCCGTCTTCCAGACTCCCCCCGCCTCCTCCTCCTCCTCCTCCTGCCAGCGACAGGGGTGAGAACTCCGCGGCCTGACCCGACACGCACGCACAGAGGGCACGGGTGAGCGGGGACACACGAATGGAGGTCACGGGGTGTGTGCAAACCCATGCCGTTGCATCTGTGGCGGGGAGCGGTGGGGCAGCAGTTAGCGCGCTGCGCTACAAATCCGGCGGATGCCGAGTTCGATTGTCGCTCATGGCCACCAACATCGGTCAACCGGTCCTGGGCTTCCTCTAGGTTGACTCAGCCTCAAATCAGTGTCTGATGCGGTGTGTAAATATCGCCACGAGGGAGACAAGGGCAACCGGGCGTGGTGCTGGTCAGCCACCCACTTGTGTGCCGTGCCGGCCTTCATAGGTGCTCGCTAACAGCACTTGCCCCCAACAGTCTGTTAAAGACTATACGGGGGATCTTTGTCTTTGTGTAGGTGCTCCCCAACAGCAATTGCCTTGAAAGTTTGTTGAGGCTATATGGGGGATCTTTAACGGACAATAGTATCCATAATAAAGTTTTTAGGTTTGATCGCGTAAATATAAATATGTCGTTAAACCCCCCACCACCCGACAGCTTATACAGGGTGCTTATACAGGGTGCTTCAAAAAAATGTTAACACGGACATGGGACTATCGTTTTTAATGGAAAAAGAACGGTTAATACACTGCAACATGATAAAAAAAATGTATGTTGATCGCTTCAAAAAGTCAAAGAGTCTCCACTTGTTCGTCATCATTGTCAACTCGTGCCTGGAATCTTCTCCAGTTGGTCTCCAGAGCCAGGAGGAGGCACATTTATTGTGGTGTTGTTGCAAATTCTCCTAAGTGTTAACATTCTTTTGAAGCACCCTGCATAATTGAACCAGGTGAAATCCTAGGAGGCCAGGATAAAGCCCATCGGCAAGCGAGCCCTGGGGCGCTAGTCTGCGGATCGCGTCGTACAATCCTAATTTAGTAATTAACTTCACAAATGTGGACCCTGATGTCGGCACACAGTGGCCTGCTGTGGATTACCACGTGGTGGTGGTGGTGACGATGATGGGTCGCTTCGTTGAGCTGCCGTTTGTGATGGCCAGGTCGCTCCTGAAAAAGAAGCTAATGGCTCAGTGGGCCTTACCTGGTAAGATAAAATGAGTTTCTTTTTTATTTGTTTATTTATTTTTAAAGTGACTTGTTCACCTTTGTCCATACTTCGCACTCCTATTATGCGTTGTATTATTTGTTGCTGTAACGTTCTAAACCCCATTGCCCCATACTGGACATATGTGAAAAAGAGCTTTATAGCTCATCGGATTCCTCCTTCAGTATTAATATTCTGATTCTCTTCTGAATGACGTCAAAGGATCTTTAACGTCCGCTGTGAGCGAAGCAGATTGCGCGTTGCAGTAATTGTCATGGTCACTACACCCGCAGTATTAATCAGGGCGGCCCGCTGGATATGAACCATTAGGCCACGTCATCATCATCATCAGCAACAGCATCGACAGCAGCGGTGTTTAATTTGTTGTCCTTCCCCCGCACCTCCGATCGGCACGGTTGGCTACGTACGGTGCGAAAGAAGTCCAACGTACAGTACATACAGCAGTGACAGCAGCCATACCTACATTCATTTTCAATTGAGTTGAATATTGACTCTGCTCAATTCACACCTTTGCCGTCTTCCAACCCTCCCTCGCTCCCGCTCTCTCCCCACTGCACACCCCCCACGAACCTCGACGCTAATTAGTGATGAGGCTTGGCACTCATTATCGGCGCGACAGGGCTGATGGATCGCCGCGCGCGTGAGCGCGGAAATTAAAATGAAGTCAATTAAAGGAGAGTGAGAGAGTGAGACGGAGTGAGAGAGTAAAGGAGGGAGTGTGAGAGTGGGAGAGTGAGATGGAGTGAGAGTGAGTGAGAGAGTAAAGGAGAGAGTAAAGGAGAGAGTGTGAGAGTGGGAAAGTGAGACGGAGTGAGAGAGTAAAGGAGGGAGTGAGAGAGATAGAGTGAGACTGAGTGAGAGAGTAAAGGAGAGTGAGAGAGAGTGAGCCAAGGAGGGAGAGAGTAAAGGAGATGGAGAGAGACAGAGTGAGCGTGTAAAGGAGTGAGTGATAGAGCGTGAGAGTGAGTGAGCCAAGGAGGGAATGAGAGAGTGAATGAGAGTGAGAGAGTGAGACTGAGTGACAGAGTAAAGGAGAGTGAGAGAGTGAGACTGAGTGAGAGAGTAAAGGAGGGAGTGAGAGAGCCTGAGAGTGAGAGAGTGAGGGAGCGTGAGAGTGAATGAGAGAGAGAGAGTCAGCGAGAGGGAGAGGGTGAGAAAATGAGAGTGGCAGAGAGAGTGCGTAGGAGAGAGCGAGCCTGCGAGTGAGGCTCTGGGTGGTTGAGTCGGTGTTTGTGGATCTGGGAGGGAGTGAGAGATTAACTGGTTGGGGGGGGGTGTTAGTGTTGTGGTCCCGTGGCGTGGGTGCGAGTAAGGGAGGGGTGGCAGGACGGGTTGTTGTTGTTGGTGGTGTGGTTGTTGTTGTTGGTGGTGGTGGTATTGTTGGTGGTGTGCCGACTTGGGATGCGCTCGGGGTTGGGGGTTCTGTGGTCTGGCTGTTTTGGGGGCGGGGGGGCTGCGAGTGAGTGAGGGGTGCCGCTCGATGGTGTGTGGGGTGGTGTGGGCAGGAGGAGGGGGGGGGTCTGGGGTGGTATGGGCAGGAGGAGGAGGGGGGGGGGTCTGGGGTGGTGTGGGCAGGAGGAGGGGGGGGGTCTGGGGTGGTATGGGCAGGAGGAGGAGGGGGGGGTCTGGGGTGGTGTGGGCAGGAGGAGGGGGGGTCTGGGGTGGTGTGGGCAGGAGGGGGGGGGGGGTCTGGGGTGGTGTGGGCAGGAGGGGGGGGGGGTCTGGGGTGGTGTGGGCAGGAGGAGGGGGGGGGTCTGGGGTGGTGTGGGCAGGAGGAGGAGGAGGGGGGGTCTGGGTGGTGTGGCGAGCTGCCATACCCACAAACGCCCCGCGGGAGTGCCCGTGCCGCTCGTTATTAATAGACTCTCGTTCCGCTAATGGGTTTATGAGGCCAAACGGTCGCTTATCCCCCTTTGAGGAACCCCCCTCTCCTCCAACCCCCCTTAACCCCCCCCCCCCCCCCATCCCATGGAACCCCGGTCGGTCTCAGGTGGCGACCTCGACTCAATACAACGCCCCCAGCAGACATCTGCTGCGATTGCGTGAACAGCCATTAACCAGGAGCGATACCACGAAATGTGTGTGGGTGTGTGTGTGTTGAACTGCCTTCGCACCCGTAACGTAGCCAACCGCGCTAATCGGAGGTGCAGGGGAAGGACAAACGAACTAAACACGAAAAGAAGTTAGAAATGAATGAGTTTTCAATGTAGATGATTAGGAGTGCATCGCTCCGGTCGTTTCCTAGTAAGTGGAGGAAGAGCATTCCACGGTGTGCCTGGTCGTTGTACATCGTATCTCGCCAAACTTTACCGTTCCGTTCTTTTTGGGGAAATTGTTTTCGCATTAACGCGTTTTTAGTTTAACGCGGCACTTTTCAGGAACGCATCTACCTCGTTAAACGAGGGCCTGCTGGAGTATAGTATCGTGTAACATCGTATCGTAGGAGACCTGTTATTAAGCGCACACGGTATGTGACCGTGGTGGCTAGGCACGTGGCCTGTAGTCCAGCACTGCCAGGAGAATGTGGTACAGCAAAGAAATAAACGTGGACTCCATCTGTTCCATCTGTACGGGATAGAGTTCCCCCCCCCCCCCGGTTTCCTCCCACACAATTAATTGGCCGGATATGCCTTCATATATTCAGGAGTCCAGAACTTGGGCAATTGTTGGTGACATTGGCTCAAGGCGAGACTCCCGCTGCTGATGCCTTCCCGCTGCCGGGGCAAGTGCTGTAAGCGAGTAGCACCTACGAAGGCCGGCACGCCACACGAGATTGTGTTGGCGGCCAGCATCACCATGCCCAGCCGCCTTTGTCTCCCTAGTGGCGATGTTTATACGTCGCACCAGGCGCTCATTTGAGGCTGGAGTACACCTAGAGGATAGGCCCATGAACGGTTCAAATAATCATCACCGGTGTTGGTTGCCGTGAGCGGGAATCGAACTCGGGTTCGCAGAAAATAGGATCGCGGATAATAGGATTGCGGATCGTAGATAGTAGGATCGCGGATAATAGCTTGCAGATAGTAGGATTGCAGATAGTAGGATCGCGGATGATAGGATTGCGGATAGTAGGATTGCAGATAGTAGGATCGCGGATAATAGGATTGTGGATAGTAGGATCCAGATAGTAGGATTGCAGATAGTAGGATTGCGGATAATAGGATTGCCGATAGTAGGATCGCAGATAGTAGGATTTCAGATAGTAGGATCGCGGATAATAGGATTTGCGGATAGTAGGATTGCGGATAGTAAGATCTGGGCAGGCTCGTACCTGCTCGGCCTTGACGGCCTCGCTGGAGGCTGCGGAGGAGGAGGCGAAGGGCTCCTGGTAGTGGTGCTGCCGCTCGAAGGCGCGCTCCAGGGCCTCCAGCTGCTGCTGTGCGAAGGCGTCGACCCGTAGCTGCTTGCGGCCTCCCGCGTGAGGGACCCCCCCACAACGCCCCTCGCCGCCGTGCAGAGCCGCGTCCACTGCGGGGGAGGGGGGCGGGCAGGTGTGTGGGTGAGACACGGGGGTATGTGGGTGAGGCACGGGTGTGTGTGGGTGAGACACGGGTGTGTGTGGGTGAGGCACGGGTGTGTGTGGGTGAGACACGGGTGTGTGTGGGTGAGGCACGGGTGTGTGTGGGTGAGGCACGGGTGTGTGTGGGTGAGACACGGGTGTGTGTGGGTGAGACACGGGTGTGTGTGGGTGAGACACGGGTGTGTGTGGGTGAGACACGGGTGTGTGTGGGTGAGGCACGGGTGTGTGTGGGTGAGGCACGGGTGTGTGTGGGTGAGGCACGGGTGTGTGTGGGTGAGGCACGGGTGTGTGTGGGTGAGGCACGGGTGTGTGTGGGTGAGGCACGGGTGTGTGTGGGTGAGACACGGGTGTGTGTGGGTGAGACACGGGTGTGTGTGGGTGAGGCACGGGTGTGTGTGGGTGAGACACGGGTGTGTGTGGGTGAGACACGGGTGTGTGTGGGTGAGACACGGGTGTGTGTGGGTGAGACACGGGTGTGTGTGGGTGAGGCACGGGTGTGTGTGGGTGAGGCACGGGTGTGTGTGGGTGAGGCACGGGTGTGTGTGGGTGAGGCACGGGTGTGTGTGGGTGAGGCACGGGTGTGTGTGGGTGAGGCACGGGTGTGTGTGGGTGAGACACGGGTGTGTGTGGGTGAGGCACGGGTGTGTGTGGGGCAGGTGTGTGGGTGAGACACGGGTATGTGTGTGGGGCAGGTGTGTGGGTGAGACACGGGTGTGTGTGGGTGAGGCACGGGTGTGTGTGGGTGAGACACGGGTGTGTGTGGGTGAGGCACGGGTGTGTGTGGGTGAGACACGGGTGTGTGTGGGTGAGGCACGGGTGTGTGTGGGTGAGACACGGGTGTGTGTGGGTGAGGCACGGGTGTGTGTGGGTGAGACACGGGTGTGTGTGGGTGAGGCACGGGTGTGTGTGGGTGAGACACGGGTGTGTGTGGGTGAGGCACGGGTGTGTGTGGGTGAGGCACGGGTGTGTGTGGGGCAGGTGTGTGGGTGAGGCACGGGTGTGTGTGGGTGAGACACGGGTGTGTGTGGGTGAGACACGGGTGTGTGTGGGTGAGACACGGGTGTGTGTGGGTGAGGCACGGGTGTGTGTGGGGCAGGTGTGTGGGTGAGACACGGGTGTGTGTGGGTGAGACACGGGTGTGTGTGGGTGAGGCACGGGTGTGTGTGGGTGAGACACGGGTGTGTGTGGGGCAGGTGTGTGGGTGAGACACGGGTGTGTGTGGGTGAGACACGGGTGTGTGGGTGAGGCACGGGTGTGTGGGTGAGGCACGGGTATGTGTGTGGGACAGGTGTGTGGGTGAGACACGGGTGTGTGTGTGTGAGACACGGGTGTGTGTGGGTGAGACACGGGTGTGTGTGGGACAGGTGTGTGGGTGAGACACGGGTGTGTGTGTGTGAGACAGGTGCGTGAGTGAGCTACAGGTGTGTGGGCGAGACGTCGGGATGCATCGTCAGTTTTCTTTTATCGCTTCTTCAAGTCATCGTTTCGCTTTGCCTGCACCCTTGCTGTCGCGTAAGTCACTGGAGTTGCTTTCGACGAGTGATGAACCGCGTGCGTTAAAGAGGCGCCGATTTATCGTGGGACACCGAACGTTGGTATAAAAAAAAATGCCCGCTTTTCCTTCTTGTCCACAAGCGCGATCCCCTCCCTCCCTCCCTCCTTCCCTCCCTCCCTCCCTCCCTCCCTCCCTCCCTCCCTCCCTCCCTCCCTCCCTCCCTCCCTCCCTCCCTCCCTCCCTCCCTCCCTCCCTCCCTCCCTCCCTCCCTCCCTCCCTCCCTCCCTCCCTCCCTCCCTCCCCTCCCCTCCCAGCAAGCCGGACCAAAAGGCGAGCGCTGAACTGCGACTCTCCAACCCGCTCGCCCCAATCGGCGAATTCCCCGGCTGGTCGATGACGTCACCGCCTACTGTGACGCGACGCGCGCCCCTAATTGTGACGCGTTTCGCCCGCGTGCTTCAGTGAGCCGCTGCGCTCTCGCAGCCACCGGCAAAGGAAGGACGGGCTTCAACATGCAGCGTCTCATCAGTAGTCAGGCTTCCTTGAAGCAACGCTCGCAAAAGCTGCCCGATGTTCTCATGGGAGAGGATCTGCTGAGACGTGTAAAGCAATTACTTGGTTTATGCCGGTTGCGTTGAAAGTGGTGCGAATATCAAAATCTCCCCAACGCGTTCGCCAATACCGACACTGCGTGTGTGGCATTACAAGGAAAAAAAAACACGTGTAATATTTTAGGCGACGTTTCGGGCAATGCGCCTGTTTCTATAGCACACAAATAGAGAGTAACTATTCACACGGCAATTTAAAAACGGGTCATCAGAAAGCATTAAAAAAAATCTAATTCTTATCAGGCCCCACGGAGCAACGTCCAATCTCCAACTCTTATTGTCCACCATTTATCTATGGCCTCTCTATTCATGTGCTATGAAGAAGGGCCATTGTCCGAAACGTCGCCTATTATATATTTGATTCATTTTAAGGCCACACAGTGTTATTATTGACGGACGCATTGAGCGTTTTGCCCATGCTACCTTCCATGGGTATCGTAGAGTGCACTCATGAGTGCAGTCGATAATGCTTCCTACGAAAATGTTTTATATTTGTATATATATGTTTTTATATGAAGTAATGTTTACCATCTGTATTATTATTAGTGCTATTACGGATGCCCAAATAAAGACCCTCGGTTGCTCACACGAAAGAAATAACGCTGCCGGGAACGCATCCCAGATAATGACTCCTTTTAGCGCTCATTCGGTTAGAAACGTGTCTCGAGCGCTAAGCGAGGTCTGCCTGTGTATATACTCTATACGCATTATTTTCCATGGCAATGCGTAATGGGTTTGTCTTGCGATACTACAATGACAAGTGGCGTGTCCACACTCCAACCATCCAGTTATCCATCCACCCTCCCCCCATCCTCTCCCCACCATCACAATTCAGAAATTCGAATCAATTCGAGAACCAATCGATGTGGTAGCATCGGTCATCGATACTTTATCGCGATTCATTCATTCTCCGCACCCAGCCACGCAGAGAGCGAGAGAGAGAGAGAGAGAGCGAGAGAGAGAGAGAGAAGAAACATTGTAACTTCACCCACGGCCCCCCTTATCCACAACACCACCCCCCCTCCCCTACGCATCACCCAGAATCCGCGCCGTCCGTCTGTGCGATGGCGAGGCGCCTTGTGGGAGAGTTGCTGCCGCAGCTGCTCTGGCTCAAAGGGCCCACAGTGAATTCGCGTGCAGGGAACTTCGCAAATTGTGGTGGTGGCGGGGGGGGGGGGGGAAGTGCGCTCCGATCGTCTATTCAGAGTCTTTGCGGTCAACCCCCTCCCCCATCTCCACTCCCTTCCTCTCTCCATATCTCTCTCCCTCTCTAATTCTCCTTGCCGTGCGTTATTACCTTACACAACTTCGCTTCGCAAAAACCTCCCTACAGATCGAGCGGCGGCTGCATTTAAGTCAGTTATGTACCATCATCATCATCATCATCTTGCGTCACTGTAATCGGGCATGATCAATCCGCTGCTGGATGAAGGCATCTGCAATACCAGTCGTCATCCTTTCATGGCCCAGCGATTCCACAACGCGTCTCGATCTCATCACTCCATCTCCACGGGCGTCTCGACGCACCGCCTTCTGGGACGTCTTGTCGCGGTGTCTTTGGCTGCCACTGCGTCTCCGGTCTCGCCCATCGCGGGTGCACGTCAACGCGGCTCGGCAACCCGCGGCTCTTTCAGAGCTGCCTCGTGACGTTATCGATCAAGGACCACCGTCTCGTATTCACAAGTGGGCTGCCGCGGTGGCGAGATGTAGGAGGTTGTGGGTTCGATCCCGACCCTTGACGCCTGCTGCATGCTTTAAGTTTGCGCGTCTCTCTCTCTCTCCCCCCGTGGCCGCGTGGATTTTTCTCCGGGTCCTCCGGGTTTTCCCTCCACGTGTAGAGATGCGCGTTTAGAGTATTTGGCTGCTATACATTTCCACGTGATAAGCCACTTCGTTAGGCTATCATTCGTGGCTAGGTTGCTTCTGAAAACGAGCTATATTGCTCAGTGGACCCTTACTTAGTAAAAATTAAATTAAAAGTAAATAGCAATCTGCATACTCGAGACTGCAGTCCACGAAACGCCACACTCGCTCATTCGTCGTGCGCCTTCCCCGTAAGTTGAAGCAAAGGACTCAGTGCCAGGCCGATGAATGTTTTTTTTTTTAATTCCCTTCTCTGTAATTGACACCCGGCTAGGAGGAGACGCGGGGCTGCGGGTGGCGATGCCGATTCATAGAGGGGCTGGCGTCACGAAGCGAAGGACTTGGGGGGGAGGGGGCGGTGGAGGGGGTTGGGGTGGGAAAGGTATTTGGGCATAGCGGAGCCCATACGTTTTTTTGATCATCGTTTTAATTTTAAAAGTTGACGTCCGTTGGAGTGGCTCAAAGTCCGCACCTGTGTGCCTCTCAGCCGGCCGACAATGAATCTCGGGGCTTGCTCACCTGGCCTCTACTCCCTCGCCTCACCCCCCTCTACCCCCAATTCTCCCCCCCCCCCACCCCCACCTTGGCACCTCGAACTCAACTCGACTTGCCAAGGAAATTAAAAACGGGGGTTGCGAAGAATCCACGGCGCTCGCGTGCGCGCTTTCCACTCCGCTTCTGGACATTCGAGTGCAGGTGCATTGCGGAGGGTGGCAGGGATTTCACGGCAGGGCACAGGGGCAAACAGCGTGGAGGAGGTTCAGAAGAGGAGGTGGCTTTGGGAAACACGTCTTGGTGCATGCGATCAAGTAGGAGGGGGTTTGTGGATGGTTGAGACGCGTGTGCGGAATGGAAGCTTCTGGTAAACAATTTGGGAATTTCCATGGTAGGATGAGGGTTAAAAACATTGGAGGTTTGGGCTAGAACGTGGCTCATGGAATGTGGTGGAGACGTGATCAGGGCTAGACGCACTAATTGGGTACTAGAGGGGGGCATTTTTACTCACAGCGGATTTTGACTGGCCATCGCACAAAGACGGTCACCGCCTCGGGCGGTTTCAGATGAGCTTCCGCGGCCGTCTGGAAAGCTCTTCCTTTCAGATATTAGGAAGCCACTGGAGCTATGCACTTTTAAATCATCCAGATTGAAAGCTCATTTCTTTAGAACTGCGTTTCATGTTTAGTGTGTTGTCCTCCCCCCGGACCTCCGATTAGCGCGGTTGGCTACGAATGGGGTGAAAGAGGTTGAACATACAGACTTACATTTTCGACTTGGTAACACTGCCTTTCTCATTTTAGCACTGCGCTCAGGAATCTGTTGTCTTTCAGGTAATTCTGAGCACCGAGTCAATGTAGACAGTCCTCGTCTGATTCTAGTTTAGTCCCATCTCATGTGCGGTAATGGCAATTGGCTCTGAATAATACAGTACACACATACACCACTCGTATATATCACAAAGACAAAAAATCCCCATGGAGCCTTAACAAACTGTTCATGCAAGTGCTGTTAGCGAGCACCAATAAAGGCCGGCACGGCACACGAGGCAGTGGGTGACCAGCACCACGCCCGACCGCCTTTGTCTCCCCAGTGGCGATGTTTACACACCGCACCAGGTACTCATTTGAAGCTGAGTCGACCTAGGGGAGGCCCAGGACCAGTTTGGATAATCGTCACTGATGTTGGCCGGGAGCGGGAACTGAACTCGGAATGCCGGGTTCGTAGCGCAGCGTAGCGCTAACCGTCGCACTACAACTCCCCACTCGTAGACACATACACACACCCACACGACACACACACACGGCACATACACTAAGCACCACAGCGTCTCCCCGTACTTGTAAAGCAATAGTTACCTCCACCTTGCGTCGCGTAGGGATGGTTGCCACTGATTGGGGGTCACCTTGGCTCAGCTACAACGGGGCATCAGGGTGGTTGCGATGAGACGCGTGATGTAAGGAGCTTCGAGTTGCTCACTTTTAGGCGAGCTCCACGCTAAACCATGTCCTCGCCATGAGAATGGCTCCTCGCCGCTGGCTCAGCGTGAGGAGGTGCAGCGGAGAGGGCCCACACTTTCTGGGTCCATGGAACCAGTGAAAAAAGAGATTCACAGCTCGTCGGCTTGGTCCTGATCTAAATAAAATATTGTGATTCTCATCGGATTCTGAGCTGTCGAACTCAAGAGGGTATTCTATTTTTTTTACTTACAGAGAACCATCACAGAAAAGTTGGGACGTTAGGGGGCCTGGTTGTGACATAAGAAACATTGCCGGGAGTGGCGATGTTGGAATTCCCCTACCGCGTAGGTTTGTCGCGGTCACTCTGCAGCACGTGGCACGGAACATCGGACATTGTGACGAGCAACGATGTTGGAATGTTTTTGTCGGGGGGGGGGGGGGTTGGAGGGGGGGGGGGGGGGCGTCAGGCGTGAGCTCGTACCCACGTCTCGCTTCCTCTTGGCGTCCCCGTTGGCCCGGGGGATGCCCAGGATCCCGCTGATGGAGTAGGAACTGGGGCCCAGGGAGCTCTCCACGGGCGTCATGGCCCCGCTGGACACTGCAATACACGGGGACCACATGGACACCACACGGGGACCATGTGGGGAACCACACGGAGACCACACGGAGACACCACGGGGACCACACGGAGACCACAAAGGGGAACCACATGGGGACCACACGGGGACCACACGGAGACCACAAAGGGGACCACACGGACACAAACTCAAGACCACACGGACACAAACTCAAGACCACACGGAGACCACACGGGGACCACACGGAGACCACACGGGGGACACACGGGAACAGCGCTCGGCTCTCGCAAACCAAGCGCAGGTGTAGGGCCCCAGGGAGCTCGCTATCTTTTCACGACATCTCTTCTGCCATCTCGTCTGTGTGTGAGATTTCGTGATGATGAATGAAGGCCTCCCCATCGGCACAGTAACCTCTCTGAGGATCCCGCCGCGATGTATAACACTGCACCAGCACGCGAGGAGCTGATTATATCGCTCCATCTCCTCGTCGGATGTCCTCTCGGATCCCTTGGCTACCACTCTGTCTCGACCATCGTCCCTTCTGAGTGACAGCTCCTGCCCAAGCCCCCTTGCTTTTCTTCTCAATATGGATGATGTCATTAATCATGCACGTGGCCTCTAATCCACGTGTCCGAATGTCTACAAATGCCCATGGTGGTGAGATATTAACTACGTCGCCTGGTATACAGGAGGTTGTGGGTTCGAGCTCGACCCTGATGCCCCTGGATATTTGGAGTGTGCGGTGTCTCTCTCTCTCCCCGTGGTCACGTGGAGTTTTCTCCAGCTCCTCCGATTTTCCCCTCCACAAAATGTAGAAACGCGCGTTTGGAGTATTTGGCTGCTATACATTTCCACGTAATAAGCCACTTCGTTGAGCTATCATTTGTGGCCAGGTCGTTTATGAAAAAAAGAGCTATATAACTCAGTGAGCCTTACCTGGTAAATGAACAATAATTGAGTTTAGTTTTACCCCGATAGCGTCCTTCACGAACCTCCTCCACAGAGTCCAATCTTAACACCGCTGGTACCAGCCATCAGCAAGTCCACTCGGATCCAGAACATCTCTTACCGCATCACCTCCATGTCTTCTCTAGCCTGTACTGTGCCCATTTAGGCCCCTCTAACTGGCCAAACAGAAGCTGCTGGGAATGCGGGCTACGTGACCCAACCAAACACAGCGTCTCCTGCAGGAGGATCTCACTGATGAAACTGTGCTCAGATATTTCAATGATCTGTGAGCTCCTCACACTATAATCCAGTCTGGTTAAAGAAAGACAAATATCCTCGTATAGCTTTAACACACTCTAGTAGCAAGTGCTGTTAGCGAGCAGCTATGGAGGCCGGAACCGTACACGAAGGGGTGAGTGGCCAGCACCACGCCCAGCCGCCTTTGTCTCCCTCGTAGCGGTGTTTACACCTTGCACCAGTTACTCGTTTGAGGCCGAGTCAACCTAGGGGAGGCCCAGGACGGGCTCAGATAATAATCGTCACTGGTGTTGCCTGTGAGTGGGAATCGAAACCGGGTCGCCACACACACACACCCACACACCTATGGTGTGTCCACTGGGCAGTCCTTGTCCTGGGCTGTCTTGAGGGCTGGGATGAAACGGCTGCTGCACCTTGGTCCGGATTATCCTGGGAGTGGGGGGGGGGGCGGTGAGGAGGGGGGGGGGGCCCAGAGGCCAGACACGGGGCACGGAGAAGGAAGAATGACGTGGGTGGGGGGGGGGGGGGGGTACCACGCCGCCTGTCATTGCCGTGGTGATCGCAAACTCGTCACGCGTCCGTGTGTAACATCACGAGCGAAAGCAAACTCGGGTTGCCCTCGCTTTACGCGGCTTCGCTTTGCGTGATTGGACGCTCTTCGCGCGGATAACCTACGCCTACCCAATGATTCGCTGCGTATGCGGTTTGATTTCACTCCTAATGTTGTCTTGTTTCATATTATAGAGCGCCTTAGCAGCTCAAAGGCGCTCGATAACATAATAAAATAAAAAAACGGTAACACATGTCGCGATTTAGTTAGCAGGAGCAGTGCAAGGGCTGAGGAATGAGTGACCGTAACAGGGGGGGTGGGGGGGGGGGTCACGAGAGGGCTACAGGGGAGGGACGGGATGGAGTGGAGGGGCTAGGGGAGGGAAGAGGAAGGGAATGGGTGATGGAGAAGAGGTGGCGAGGCTTTGAGGAAGGAACGGAAGGTTAAGAAGGCGGACTGCTTCATGTACAGAGGGGGAGTGTTGAGTTCTATGGGCAGTGTCAAAGTATGAAAAAATTAGAATATGTTTGACCACATTCTGGCAATAAGACAGGAGGTGTAAAGATGTCCAACACCAAACAGAAACATTTTTCAAGGAATCAGGTCCTGCATTAACCACACACAGTATTTGTAGTGAACATGCAAACAAACATGCTCTGATAAATTTCGATTTAAAGCTTTCGTGACTGCAGGGATTCATCTTCTTGGTTCATTCGGTAAAGTCACGTAGAAGGGATATAATAAAATAATAAAGATAAAACACAATAAGATAAAATTCTCACGACGTTTCGGCCACAACACAAGCAGCCGTCTTCAGGTGAAAAAAAAGAACCAAGAAGATGCTCTGATAATTATAGAAGATATGTCTTGTCCTTGAAACTGAGGGCATTCACTACACAAGTACTGTGTGTGGTTGATGCGGCCTTGATTCCTAGCAAAAAGTTAATATTTGGTGTTTGAACATCTTCACCTGTTATATTGCCAGAAAGGGTAAAACCTATTCTCATGTTTTCATTCGATGGGCAGTGTTGAGTCTATGAGCAGTGTTAGTCTATGTACAGTGATGTGTCCATGAGCGGTGTTGAGTCTATGGGCAGTGATGAGTCTATAGGCAGTGTTGAGTTTTTTGGGCAGTGTTGAATCTTTGAGCAGTGTTGAGTATGTGGGCAGTGTTGAGTCTATGGGCAGTGTTGAGTCTATGGGCAGTGTTGAGTCTATGGGCAGTGTTGAGTCTATGGGCAGTGTTGAGTCTATGGGCAGTGTTGAGTCTTTGGGCAGTGTTGAGTCTATGGGCAGTGTTGAGTCCATGGGCAGTGTTGAGTCCATGGGTAGTGTTGAGTCTATGAGCAGTGTTGAGTCCATGGGCAGTGTTGAGTCTTTGGGCAGTGTTGAGTCTATGGGCAGTGTTGAGTCCATGGGCAGTGTTGAGTCCATGGGCAGTGTTGAGTCTATGAGCAGTGTTGAGTCCATGGGCAGTGTTGAGTCTATGGGCAGTGTTGAGTCTATGGGCAGTGTTGAGTTTTTGGACAGTGTTGAGTCTATGGGCAGTGTTGAGTCTTTGTGCAGTGTTGAGTCTATGGGCAGTGTTGAGTCTATGGGCAGTGTTGAGTCCATGGGTAGTGTTAGTCTATGGGCAGTGTTGAGTCTATGGGCAGTGTTGAGTCTATGGGCAGTGTTGAGTGGGCAGTGTTGAGTCTATGGGCAGTGTTGAGTATGAGCAGTGTTGAGTCTATGGGCAGTGTTGAGTCTTTGGGAAGTGTTGAGTTCATGAGCAGTGTTGAGTCTATGGGCAGTGTTGAGTCTATGGACAGTGTTGAGTCTATGGTGCAGTCTTGGGTCTATGGACAGTGTTGAGTCTATGGGCAGTGTTGAGTCCATGAGCAGTGATGAGTCTATGGGCAGTGTTGAGTCTATGGACAGTGTTGAGTCTATGGGCAGTGTTGAGTTTTTGTGCAGTGTTGAGTCTATGGGCAGTGTTGAGTCTATGGGCAGTGTTGAGTCTATGGGCAGTGTTGAGTCTATGAGTAGTGTTGAGTCTATGGGCAGTGTTGAGTCTATGGACAGTGTTGAGTCTATGGGCAGTGTTGAGTCTTTGTGCAGTGTTGAGTCCATGGGCAGTGTTGAGTGGGTAGTGTTGAGTCTATGGGCAGTGTTGAGTCTATGGGCAGTGTTGAGTCTATGAGCAGTGTTGAGTCTATGGGCAGTGTTGAGTCTATGGGCAGTGTTGAGTCTATGGGCAGTGTTGAGTCTATGGGCAGTGTTGAGTCTATGGGCAGTGTTGAGTCTATGGGCAGTGTTGAGTCTATGGGCAGTGTTGAGTCTATGGGCAGTGTTGAGTCTATGGGCAGTGTTGAGTCTTTGTGCAGTGTTGAGTCCATGGGCAGTGTTGAGTGGGTAGTGTTGAGTCCATGGGCAGTGTTGAGTCTTTGGGCAGTGTTGAGTCTATGGGCAGTGTTGAGTCCATGGGCAGTGTTGAGTCCATGGGCAGTGTTGAGTCTATGAGCAGTGTTGAGTCCATGGGCAGTGTTGAGTCTATGGGCAGTGTTGAGTCTATGGGCAGTGTTGAGTTTTTGGACAGTGTTGAGTCTATGGGCAGTGTTGAGTCTTTGTGCAGTGTTGAGTCTATGGGCAGTGTTGAGTCTATGGGCAGTGTTGAGTCCATGGGTAGTGTTAGTCTATGGGCAGTGTTGAGTCTATGGGCAGTGTTGAGTCTATGGGCAGTGTTGAGTGGGCAGTGTTGAGTCTATGGGCAGTGTTGAGTATGAGCAGTGTTGAGTCTATGGGCAGTGTTGAGTCTTTGGGAAGTGTTGAGTTCATGAGCAGTGTTGAGTCTATGGGCAGTGTTGAGTCTATGGACAGTGTTGAGTCTATGGTGCAGTCTTGGGTCTATGGACAGTGTTGAGTCTATGGGCAGTGTTGAGTCCATGAGCAGTGATGAGTCTATGGGCAGTGTTGAGTCTATGGACAGTGTTGAGTCTATGGGCAGTGTTGAGTTTTTGTGCAGTGTTGAGTCTATGGGCAGTGTTGAGTCTATGGGCAGTGTTGAGTCTATGGGCAGTGTTGAGTCTATGAGTAGTGTTGAGTCTATGGGCAGTGTTGAGTCTATGGACAGTGTTGAGTCTATGGGCAGTGTTGAGTCTTTGTGCAGTGTTGAGTCCATGGGCAGTGTTGAGTGGGTAGTGTTGAGTCTATGGGCAGTGTTGAGTCTATGGGCAGTGTTGAGTCTATGAGCAGTGTTGAGTCTATGGGCAGTGTTGAGTCTATGGGCAGTGTTGAGTCTATGGGCAGTGTTGAGTCTATGGGCAGTGTTGAGTCTATGGGCAGTGTTGAGTCTATGGGCAGTGTTGAGTCTATGGGCAGTGTTGAGTCTATGGGCAGTGTTGAGTCTATGGGCAGTGTTGAGTCTTTGTGCAGTGTTGAGTCCATGGGCAGTGTTGAGTGGGTAGTGTTGAGTCTATGGGCAGTGTTGAGTCTATGGGCAGTGTTGAGTCTATGAGCAGTGTTGAGTCTATGAGCAGTGTTGAGTCTATGGGCAGTGTTGAGTCTATGGGCAGTGTTGAGTCTATGGGCAGTGTTGAGTCTATGGGCAGTGTTGAGTCTATGGGCAGTTCAGACTTTTTACTTCTTCAACAGTTGTTGATGGATAACATCGGTCTGGAAAACCCATACGCCGAATAACTTAATAAAAATGTGTAAATATGCGTAGACATAGAGCAGAGTTCAACTTATACAAATATAAACTATGAATATAATCCCCATAGAGCAGGGGGAAGGGTACTTACGGACACTGGAGCCTCTGCAATGTCCGCGAACAATATTAATCCCCGTCACTGCGAGCATCTTAGCCGCACTAATCGGGTTATAGAGGGGACTATATCCACCCTGACAAATAAATAAAACCACACAGCGCCACGCTCAGTCTGTTTTTCGTCATTGCTCGGGCCTCTACAACTTGGTGGACACGCGCGATATGAACATTTTATTTTAATTTACCATGTAAGGCCCACTGAGCTGCCGTATAGCTCTTTTTTCAGAAGTGAACTGCCGACAAATGATAGCCCAACGAAGTGGTTTATCTTGTGGGAATGTACAGCAGTCGAACACTCCAAACGCACGTTGACTCTCAATGTGGAGGGAAAGCCGGGAAGAGCCGGAGAAAAATCCACGCGACCACGGGGAGAGAGAGAGACACCGCAAACTCCAAACATACAGCAGGCATCAGGGGTCGGGGATCGAACCCACGATCTCCTGTATACCAGACGAGGTAGTGAACATCTCCTAGCCACTGTGATGATTATGATGATGAGAGAGAGAGACACCACAAACTCCAAATAACAGCAGGCGTCAGGGGTCGGGATCGAACCCACGATCTCCTGTATACCAGACAAGGTAGTGAACATCTCCTAGCCACTGTGATGATTATGATGATGATGAGAGAGAGAGAGACACCGCAAACTCCAAATAAACAGCAGGCATCAGGGGTCGGGATCAAACCCACGATCTCCTGTATACCAGACGAGGTAGTGAAGATCTCCTAGCCACTGTGATGATTATGATGATGAGAGAGAGAGACACCACAAACTCCAAATAAACAGCAGGCGTCAGGGGTCGGGATCGAACCCACGACCTCCTGTATACCAGACGAGGTAGTGAACATCTCCTAGCCACCGTGGCGGTGCCTCGTATATTTCGCGTTATTGTTAAAGAACGCGCCACAAAGTTGTAGGCTTTAATAGGCGCACGCAATCAGCATGTGTCACGTAGGCGTGCACTTGACCCCGGACAGTCTATGTTAGGCTATAGGGTGGAGAAGGGGGCTCTATGTCTTGTGTGTTTGTGAGTGCGTGAAGGCGCTGTTATTTGGATCTTCTCGCCACGAACCCCACCAGCCCTGTCACTCCCTCTCCCACACCCAGTGCCCCCCCCCCTCATGCCCCCCCCTCATGCCCCCACCCCCATCAGCCCCTCCCACACCACCCCCCCCCCCCCAATCTTGCAAGCCATAAATGAAGCGTTGGCCGTGATCGATACGGCAAGGATATAAAGATTTATGTGCGCGCGCGTTTGCGGCAAGCCAGGAAATTACAAGCAAATTTGCTGGAGTTATGGTGGTGGTGGTGGGGGGTTGGTGAGAGTGCTAGGGAGAGAGTTGCCTGCGGAGAGAGAGAGAGGACACAGAGAGAGAGAGAGGCGAGAGACAGAGACGTAGAGAGGAGTTACATAGACACAATCACGAGCAATACACGCATAAGAGAAACGAAGACAAGAAGAGCTGTTAGCGAGCACCTATGAATGCCAGAACGTTACACGAGGGGGTGGGTGGCCAGTACCACGCCCCGCCGCCTCTGTCTCCCCAGTGGTAATGTTGACACACCGCACCAGGTACTAATTTGAGGCTGAGTCGACCTAGGGGAAGCCCAGCACCGTTTCTGATATTCGTCAATGGTGGTGGCCGTGAGCGGGAATCGGAACTCAGGTCACCGGGTTTGCAGCGCAGCGCGCTAACCACTACACCAGCGCTCCCCCACAAAGACAAAGATCCCCCATATAGCATGAACAGACTGTTAGCGAGCACCTATGAAGGCCGGCACGGCATGCGAGGGGCTACGTGGCCAGCACCACGCCCGGCCGCAGACACACAGAGACACACACCGAGACAGAGACGCAGACACAGAGAGATGGAGGGAGACGTACAGAGAGCGAGAGACGGAGATAGAGATTTTAGTCCTAGTGCAGTTATGCCAAACGAAGTTTGGTGAATAATAAACTCACTTGAATCGCCCGAACACAGGATGCACATTGTAACTCAACGTCGCGTTTACAATGAAATTCAGTTCTGGTTTATATAGAAACACATAGACACTCACTCACACCCACACGCTCACTCACACACACAGACACTAACTCACACACACACTAACTCACACAGTCACTATCTCACACACACACAGGCAGTTACTCACACAGACTAACTCGCACACACCCACTAACTCACACAGTCACGAACTCACACACAGACAGTTACTCACACACACAGACTAACTCACACACACTAACTCAGACAGTCACGAACTCAACACACACGCACACAGACACGTACACACACACACAGACAATTACCCACTCAAACAGACAGACACTAACTCACACACAGACACTAACTCACACACACAAACACTCACACATACATAGACAATAACTCACACACACAGACACAAACTTACACATGAAAAGACACGAACTCACACACACAGACACACGCACAGACACTAACTCACACACAGACACTAATTCACACACACAGACACAAACTTACACAAACATAGACACGAACTCACACACACAGACACTCACACATACATAGACAATAACTCACACACACAGACACTCACACATACATAGACACGAACTCACACACACAGACACAAGCTTACACATACATAGACACGAACTCACACACACAGACACTTACACACACAGACACTTACACGCACAGACACTAACTCACACACACAGACACAAACTTACACAAACAGACACGAACTCACACACACACTCACACATACATAGACAATAACTCACACACACAGACACTCACACATACATAGACACGAACTCTCACACACAGACACAAACTTACACATACATAGACACGAACTCACACACACAGACACTTACACACACAGACACTTACACGCACAGCCACTAACTCACACACAGACACTAACTCACACACACAAACACAAACTTACACAAACATAGACACGAACTCACACACAGAGACACTCACACATACATAGACAATAACTCATACACACAGGCACAAGGTCACACACACAGACACTCACACATACATAGACAATAACTCACACACAGACACAAACTTACACATACATAGACACTAACTCACACACACAGACACTCACACATACATAGACAATAACTCACACACACAGACACAAACTTACACATACATAGACACTAACTCACACACAGACACTCACACATACATAGACAATAACTCACACACAGGCACAAGGTCACACACACAGACACTCACACATACATAGACAATAACTCACACACACAGACACTCACATATACATAGACAATAACTCACACACACAGGCACAAGGTCACACACACAGACACAAACTCGCAGAATACACAAACTCACAAAGACCACCCGTATAGCCTAAACAGATTATTGGGGCAAGTGCTGTTAGCGAGCACCTACTACATGACTACCGACAATGCACACCAGGGGGTGGGTGACCAGCACCACGCCCGGCCGTCTTTATCTCCCTAGTGGCGATGTTTACAGATCGAGACAAAGGCGGCCGGGCGTGGTGCTGACCACCCACCTCCTCGTATGCCGCGTGCCTGTAGCCTTCACAGGTGCTACTCGCTAACAGCACTTGCCCCAACAGTCGGTGAGGCTATACGAGATGATCTTTGTCTTTTGGTCGGTAGCGGCGGAGAGGGGGGGGGTCTTAAGCTACAGCCCAGACTCCTTCATCTCGCCTTACGGGTTCATCTTCCCCCCTCTCCCTGTATTTACCCTTTCACATGTAAATCGGTGCTACCGACACCACGGGGCTCATCTGCCGATTGGCAAACGCGACGAACAAGACGGGGCCTTGTGCGCGCGTCCCGGGTTAGCGAGCACGTGGAAATCCACTTTTATATCGCAGGGTCGGGTTTAGATAGCGGGCTGGCGCAGGTCTATTGTGTGCGGTCACCCGAGATCATGTTTAAATTCATAAAGATTCTGAGATGGCTGGGTATGTGTGTGTGTGTGGAGGCTCGTGAAGGACGCTGCTCCTGGGCAGGCAGTCGCCCTCCAACAACAACAACGGAGGGCAGAGGAGCGATGCTCACAACAAAGAGTGGAGCACCGGGCGACTAAAACACAGCATGGGCCCCGCTGGTGCATCTATCGGTTATCTGTCAGCCAACCCATGTCACCTGGGTTTGTCCCGTGACCTCCTATCAGCGAGCCTCCGACACTTCACTTGGCCTCAAAGTGCACCTAGACTGGCACAGGCGCCGTGGTCATTGTCACTTAGTGGCTAATGGCGGTAGTTGTATTCCACGTGTATGTGTACACACATACAACACGTGTACACGCACACGTACAACACTTGTTTGACTTGACAGCGTTAATTGCTTGGAGCGTCACGTGGGACGCACTCTGGTCTTATCCAACAGAGAACCCTCATCTTATCCAACAGAGAACCCTCGTTTCATCTGATAGAGAACCCGTGTCTCACCAAATACAGAAGCCACGTCTCATCCAATAGAGAACCTTAATCTTATCTAATACAGAACCTTAATCTCATCCAATAAAGAACCCGCGTCTCATCCAATAGAGAACCCTCATCTCATCCAATAGAGAAGCCTCGTATCATCCAATAGAGAACCTGCATCTCATCCAATAGAGAAGCCTCGTCTTATCCAATAGAGAACACTTGTCTCATCCCATACAGAACCCTCGTCCCATTTAATACAGAACCCTCGTCTCATCCCATACAGAACCATCGTCTCATCCCATACAGAACCCACGTCTCATTCCAACCATGGCTTGCAAACAGTAGCACATCTCAGGCTATGCCTCTTCTGACTTATGGAGTCTCACTGTCAAAACTGTGTGGTTGGCTTCGACATGGGTGAAGACCTTCATCCAGCAGTGAATAGAACACGGTTAATTATTGTTGTATCATTGTTACTACGCTTGTTAACCCAGGAAAGCCTCAGTAAGTCTCACGACTCGTATTCTCAGGAAGGTATTGCCAAGTTTGTTTTTGCAGGACCTCTCAATGATTGTGTGTACGTATGTAAAACTTCTTTCGCACCATACGTAACCAACCGTGCTAATCGGAGGTGCAAATCACAATAGATTAATTTGGAAGGTCAACTTTCAGAATTTGAATGCTTGGCTGATTCCAGGTGGTACATTATATAGCAGGAGAACACACAACGCAGGGATGCAGCATACAAACTCCACGCAGAATGGCACCCGAGTCAGGATTGGACCCCCAGGCCCCTTCATGCTGGAAGACGCGAGGTTACACCACCACGCTCCCATGCCACCTAATTATAGCCATGAACCCAAGACAAAGAGCCACCGTTTAGACTTGACAGACTGTTGTGGCAAGTGCTGTTGGCGAGCACCTAATGAAGGCCGGCATGGAACACCACGCCCGGCCACCTTTGTCTCCCCCGGTGGCGATGTTTACGCACCGCACCAGCTACTCGTTGGAGGCTGAGTCAATCATGAACCCACGTGACTCACAGCCATCAACATGTGAACACGCGGGCTGGGTGGTGTGCATGCCCCCCGTGTGTGGGGATCGGTGCCGCAATGATTAGCGGCACTGCGCTACGAACCCGCCAGACACCCGAGTTCGATTCCCGCTCACAGTCAAAAACACCGGCAGTGACGATTATCTGACACGGTCCTCGGTCTCGCCTAGGTCGACTCAGCCTCAAGTGAGTACCGGATGTGGTGTGTAAACATCTGGCGCGGTGCCGGTCGCCCAGACCCACTCGTGTACCGTGCCACTCCCGCAAGTTCCATTAGCACACATACTCGCTAACAGTACTTGCTCGCAACGGCCTGTTAATGCTACACGGGGCTTGGAGTGGTGGGGTGTGATCTTTGTCTTTGTGGGGAGGCCATCATCCAGCAGTGGATAAACCCTGGGCGGGGCACCTGTTGATGGAGGAAACGCTGGGAACGCTGTCGGGGTCGCACACCGCCTCGGCGAGCAGACGGTCCCGGATCTCCCAGGCGAACATCGTGGGGTTGTGCCGCTTGTACTCGGCGATCTTCTCCACCACCTTGGGAGTCGCCACTTTGGGCTTGGAGCCGCCAATGACGCCCGGTTTGATGCTGCCCGTCTCGTAGTACCTGGCGGGTCACGGGCAGGCCGCGTCATCATCGGTAACGGCAGCGGCAGCAGTAGCTGAAGTGACAGCTGCTGTTGCTGCTGTTGGCTCCATCTCTTCCAGCTGTACGGGGGCACAGAGTGGTGGCGTGCACACCCTCAAACCCCACTACCCCCTGCCCCTCCTCTCGTACGCGTGGGGGTTTCCTACCACGGTGGAGAGATGTTGACTACTTCGCCTGGTTTACAGGAAGTCGGCTGTTTGATCCCGACCCTGACGCGGTGCTGTATATTTGGAGTTTGCGGTGTCTCTCTCTTCCCGTGGTCGCGTGGATTTTCCTCGGGTTTTCCCTCCACGTTTAGAATCAACATCACGGGTTTAATTTATTTGGCTGATAGACATTTCGATAATAGAGACTGTTGGGTTAGATGGCGTACATATAAATGCGTCGTTAAAGTTACACGTGCTAAGCCACTTCGTTCAGCTATCATTTGTGGCCAGGTCGATTCTGAAAAAGAGATATATAGCTCAGTGGGTCCGACCTGGTAAAATAAAAAATATAGTTTATAGTTGAACTTAGTTTATATTAAAAGCAGAGATGGGGTGTGTAAATCCAAATCAATCCCGGAACAGGGTTCCAGACTTTTCTTGTTGAAATAGGCACTGGTGATGCAGGAGGAGTAACATGGGCAGTGGCAGAAGCCATAGCAGCAATATCTGTTATAGCAGCAGCACCTGTACCATTAGCAGCAGCCGTAGTTATAACAGTAACAGCAAGATAAGTTATACCAGCGGTAATAGCAGCAGCAGAATCAGTAACAGCGATAGTGGTTCTAGCTTAGATTGAAACTCATGTCTGGAGAACTGCTTTTTGTGTTTAGTTTGTTGTCCTTCCCCCACACCCCCGATTGGCACGGTTACCGATGCACGGTGCGAAAGAACTTCAACGGACACAAAGCAGCAGTAATAGCAGCAACAACATCAAGCAGTTGGAGTAACATCATCAGAATCAGCATCATCATCGTCGTCGTAATTTCCATCGAAACAGCCTCTGCTCAAAGGGAGGTCGCTCCTTCTCTGCTGCTGCTTCCGCGTCTGGAATGTCGTCTCTCTGCTCACTCCCCCCCCCCACCACTAGTCCACGTCCAGACCTCCCTGCTTCATCTGCAAACTCGAGACCGATTTCGACTCGTGTGATCCTCATCAGCAAGCCCCGCGTCCAGCCCGCTCGTTCCCCATCGGCCACCCCGGCATCGGCCACGCCACCGCGCCCACCGAGAGCGCGGATCCGGCCACCGCCCTCGCTCAACCCCCGCCGCCCGTGTTGTCCGTCCGCCCATTCTCTCGTCGCCCATCCCAACATTCGTTTCTGCGCACCCCCCCCCCCCCAACCCCTCTCCCCATCTCTCTCCGCCAGTCTGCCCGCCCGCCCGCCGGCCTGTTTACTCTTGTCCGCCCACACGCATTCTCGTCGACCCCTCTCCTTCCACCCGTCCATCAGTTCGCATCGCGTTCCCCACGCGTCCGACCGTCCGTCTGTCCACTCGCACCGTCCAATTGTCCGCCAACCCGCCCGTTCGTCTTCCTCTCCGCCCGCTCATCAGCCCGCCAAGTTTGTCCACCCGCCCATCCGTCCGTCCGCCCGCCCGGCTATTCCGCCAAACACCCACCCCCGGCACCTCCGAGTAGCACGGTTGGCTACGTACGGTGCGAAAGAAGTCCAGTGTACATATATACACCGCTCTCATTCCCCCCCCCCCCCCCCACTCACCGCACCGTTCATCTGCCCTCCCCACCTCACAACTACGCCCGTTCTTTCACCACTCCACCCACCACTCCGCCTACCTGTACGCCACTCCGCCAACAACTCTCCGCCCGCCTCTCCTGCACTCTTCCCACACCTCTGCCACTCTGCCCACCCACCCACCCTCCACCCGCATCGTCCGTCCGTCCGTCCGCCGACCTGCCGAGGATCTTGGAGACGCACCCGTGCGACACGCGCAGCTGGCGCGAGATGTCGCACGGTCGCACCCCGCTGTGCGCCAACTCCACGATCCTTTGCCGGACCACGTCCGGCAGCGGTCTCCCGTTCACGAACACCCCGCCCAGCTGATTGACCCCGCCGTGCCCTGCGATACACCCAGTGGGGGTGGGGTGGGGGTGGGGGAGGTGCCGGGTAGGGGATGGGGTAGACACGAAGGCGACACAAAGATAATATAGCAGTTCATCTGCATTCGCGTGTACTCGACGCATCGGATAACACGAAGGTTGCTGTAGAAAAAGTCTCATCTCCCTCGCCTCCACCCCCCTCCCCCGGACGTGTGCCGCTGGACGGGAGGTGATAGTATGGCTCGGTCGCGTCATCGGCATCAGCCGCGTCGCGCTGGGTGTGGCTTGTTGGGGGTTTCCCACCTTCGGGAGGATGTGGGGCCTGACGCCGCGGTGGAAGCTGCCCGAGTAATAGACCAAAAATAAAGTAGTCGATGTCTTTTTCAGTCGATCGGTTCACTTAAGCGACCAATAGTAGTCCCAGCTCGACACTACATGCCCTCCCCCATTAGTCAATTTGTGCTATGAAGAAGAGCCATTGTCCGAAACGTCGCCTATTGTATATATTTTAAGGTCTACACAAACGGCGTTATTGAGGAACGCGCTGATTTTTCCCTCTTAACCGGAGCCTGCATTTACGACATAGAGTACAAAGACAAAGCTATTTAGAGGAACAAATGCTGCGCTAGCGAGCATCTATGAAGGCCGGCACGCAGGGCACATAAGGGGGTGGGTGGCCACTGGCCAGCACCACGCCCGACCGCCTTTGTTTCCCCAATGGCGAGGGGTGGGTGGACAATGTATAACACACGGCACCAGGTACTCATTTGAGGCTGAGTAGACCTAAGGGAGGCCCAGGTCCGGTTCAGATAATCATCACTGGTGGTGGCCGTGAACAGGGAATCGAACTCAGGTGGCCTGGTTTGTAACGCAGCGTAGCGCTAACCGCTGCAACGCCAGCTCTCCATCGAGTTACACGTACACACTATCGGCTACTCCAAATTCATATGCATGCTAATATAAGTTATAAACACGTTCAAATTATGATGTAAAAAACAGATCACATTTTCACGTAACTTATATGACAAATATTAAATATTCGTATTTCAATAATAATGAATTAACGGCTCCTTCGATTTAAAGCTTTCGTGACTGCAAGGATTCATCTTCTTTGGTTCTTTCGGTAAAGTCACGTTATTCTCATTCTACGTGACTTTACCGAAAGAACCAAAGAAGATAACGGCTCTTTGTCAATCCACTGCTGAATGAAAATATCTCTAGGCCGTATCGGTCATGGGAAGTTCTTTGACCATACTTCACCACGCTGGTCACTCACTGATGTTAGCCGTGGTCGGGAATCCAACTTGTTGTGATCAAGTCGCCCGCGGTCGAAGCACGCTGCAGTGCGCTAACCGCTGCGCCACCGCTCCCCCCCCCCTCCATCTCTCCCCACGAAACATGATTACATAGCAAATGCATTGTTACGTACGGACTTCTTGCAATAAGTTACTGAATAAAATAACAAAACGTTGCCCCCACCCGTATGGCCCTGCGCTGCAAGTGAGGGTGATGTTGGGGTGCGTCTTATAAACCGGTGTAGGTTTGCGTGCGTCTCAGCGCACCGTTTTTGTGTCACTCCATTAACACCCCGGGGCGCAAGTTTGCGATTCGGTGCGTCTTACTTTTCGCTGCGTCTTATAATACGGCGCATACGATAATTATTCGGGCTGAAGATAATTGCGCGTATACATTTTTTTAAACCCAAACACGTTATTACGGACTACAGGGACTATTATTATAAACATGTTAAGAATGTGTTGAAGTTCAAATTTAAGCAAAAAAATACATATACATAATAAGCCTGTTTAATGTGCAATACTAATAATTGGCCAGCTTCACTTTGCTTTGTATAGGCTTTAGCGTGTCACTCCGCGGGAGACGAATTGGCTGGTTCACTCACTGTGGTGGTGTTGGTCGCGTGTACAGCCGTTTTTTTAAGTGTTCAGCACGAACCCGACGGATATTTACTGCGTGCGATGTACAGGCGTGCAGAACATTAAATGCACATTAACGCGCACGTATAAACATCCCCCTTATAGCCTTGACAGACTGTTGGGGAATAAGCTGTTTGCAAGTAGCACATATGAGGGGGTGGGTGGCCAGCACCACGCCCGGCCGCCTTTGTCTCCCAAGTGGCGATGTTTACACATCGCACCAGGTACTCATTTGCGGCTGAGTCGGCCTAGGGGAGGCCCGGTACCGGTTCAGATAATCGTAATTGGTGCTGGCCGTGAGCGGGAATCGAACCCGTGTCGCCGGGTTCGTAGCGCTAACCGCTACACCACCGCTCCCCATACATCTTTAACATTAACACGCAAGCACAGACACACACACACAGATACATAACGGAGAGGGTACGGCTATCATCTAACAGTGGATGAACACAAGGGCTTTACGCGTGTATATACAGCACGAGCCGTGGCCAGGCGTCGAGCTTTATGATGAACGTGCGCTCTGAGTGATGCCAATCGACCCCGACGCCTTAATTTCTCTGGGGCCCAAGTTCAAAATGACCCATAATCGATTTATTTGTGTGTGGAGGGGTGGGGGTGCGGCGGAGGTGTGGTCAGATCGCGTACGTAAAAATGTGTGTCGTAAATCCCTCCTCCACCCGAACACAGCCAATGAGCGAGTTTGCCGCGTGTCCCGCCGAGAACAGTATCGCGACATCCATCGGTCACTCGGCTTCCTAAAGCCCTTCTCGAACACTGGGTAGCGTCTCCATTTGTCACTCGGTTCACGGGGAGTCCGTTCCGCTTGAGGTTCTTTCCTTGCGCAAGATGCGCAAAGTTGCGTGTGCTCGTGCAGACGGTGGCAGGGCGGAACGTCGGCGCAGTGGGGTAGCGCACTTGTGCTACAGGCCCTCGGTGATTTGCCGCGACAGAGCGAGCGAGCGCGTGCTCTCGTGAGTGAACGAATAAGTTGAGCGAATGAATGAAAATCGTGAGCGAGCGAGTAAACGAGAGCGAACGAGCGAGCGGACGAGTGAGCGACAGACGGGTCGAGCGAACGAGCGAGCGGATGAACGAAATACGAACCAAGTGAATGACGCAGCGGGCGAGCGAGTGGAAGAGTGAGTGAGAGCCCGAGCAAGCGAACGAGCGAGAGAGTGAATCGGCGACTGAGTGGACACGTCGGTGAATGAAGGAGTGTGCGAGTGAATGAGCAGGCGGAGGGATCGATCGAGCGACCGACAGTGAGTGACTAGGCGACTGTGGGAATGACCCACTGAATGGGGGAGCGAGCGAGGGTCTGAGTGAGTGAATGAAACGGAGAGAGAGAGGAAATAAGCAAAATTAATAAATGGACGAGTGAGAAATTCCGCTATTGCTCGCATCTGCATCGCTTAACGCTCTTACAGCCAGCTGTAGCTCGCAACACAACAGTCATCCATTAGCGTAAAACTCATGCTGTGTGTGTGTGGAGTTGTTGCGTTTGTGTGTGTGCGAAGCTAGCGCTGCGCTACGAACCCGGCCACCCGAGTTCGATTCCCGTTCATGGCCAAACATCAGTGGCGAATGTCTGAACCGTTACTGGGCCTCCCCTGGGTCGACTCATCCTTATACGAGTAGCTGGTGCGCTGTGTAAACATCGCCACTGGGGATACAAAGGCGGCTGGGCGTGGTTCTGGCCACCCCACCCCCTGACGTGCCGTGGCGGCCTTCAAAGGTTGTTCGCCAACATCATTTGCCCCAACAGTCTGTTTAGGCTATACGGGGGATCTTTGTCTTCGTTATTGAGTATGCGTGAGTTACTGTGTGTTGTTTAGTGTGTGTGTTGATTTATTGAATGTGTGTGTAGTTGTTGATGGTGTCCGCTTTATAAAATCCACATTGTTTGTGTCTGTATATGCGCACGTGTGTAAACATCAGCACTGGGGAGACAAAGGCGGCCGGGCTTGGTGCTGGTCGCACCAACCCCTCGGTGCGACTCACTAACAGCATTTGCCCCAAAACTTCTGTTCAAGGCTATATACGGGGATCTTTTTTCTTTGCCGAGAGTGGCGGAGTAGTGGTTAGCAGCGCACTGCAATTATGAAACCCGCTCACCTGAGTTCGATTCCCAGCCGTGGCAAACAGCAGATAAACGAAGCCGTTCTGGGACTCCGCTAGGTTGACTCAGCCTTGAATGTCTACCAAGCAGAGTGTCTGACAACATTACACACAACGGCGGGCTGGTGGGCATAAGTGCTGGCGAAACCAGCCTCGTCGTGAGCCTCGATAAGTATACAGCACTTGCCTCTGTAGTCTGTAAGAGTTGTGCATGGCTCAACACGAACCATTGTATGTGTGTGTGTGTATACATGTGAGCGCACTATATATATGCGGAGCGGTGGTGTAGTGGTTAGCGCACTGCGCTTGGAAACGGGCGAGCGATGTTCGATTCTCACTCACGGTCACCAACATCAGTGGCGACGATTTGAACTGTTCCTGGGCCTCCTCTAGGTTGACTCAGCCTTAAATGAGTATTCGGTGCTGCCGGTAAATATCAGCATCGGGGAAACAAAGGCGGCCAGGCGTGGTGCGTTTGCCACCCATCGCCACGTGTGCATGTCTTGGCGTTAATAAGTGCTCGCTAACAGCACTTGTCCCAACAGTCTGTTAAGGCTATACGGGGGATCTTCGTGTTGTGTGTGTTGGTGTGCATATACGAGTACAGTATATATGTCGTCTAAAAACAGCCGGCTTGTAACGTTCCTCCGTATATCTTTCACACACTTAGGGGCCATCCGTTTAGTACGCATGGAGCGAGGAGGGGGGTTAACCCAAATGCGTACGCGTGCGTATGGTGGGGGGTCTATTGACAATGTACACATAGGAAACTGGGGGGGGGGGTGAAGCCTCGATAATAATTTGTCTACATTGGCCTTCAAATGAGTTAGATAGTCCAGCGGTGGACTGTTTGCTTAAAACACGTTCATATTATTAATCCTTGATCGTTTCTGCGTGGATCAAATATCGGCCGTTCTATAGGATTCGGGGGGGGGGGGGCGGTCAGGCGAACGTACGCAGATAGGGGGGGGGGTGTAAAAAGTCCGCGTGCGTTAAGGGAGGGGTGAAAGGGGTCAAGTTTTGACAGATTTTTGCGTTCCTACTCAATGGATGGCCCCGAACGGAGCAAGTGTACATACGTACACATGGGGACATTAACACGAAAACACACAAAGACAAAGATCCCCCTTATAGCCTTAACAGACTGTTGGGACAAGTGCTGTTAGCGAGCGCCTATGCAAGCCGGAACGGTACACGAGGGGGTGGATGGCCAGCACCACGCCCGACCGCCTTTGTCTCCCCAGTGGCGATGTTTACTACACACCGCACCAGCTACTCATTTGAGGCTGAGTCGACCTAGGGTATGCCCAGGACCGGTTTAGATAATCGTCACTGGGTGTTGGCCGTGAGCGTGAATCGAACCCGGGACGCCGGGTTCATAGCGCAGCGCACTAACCGCTACACTATATGTTATATACGCATATACGTGCACACACGCAACTGCACACGCATTCACACATATACACACACGTAAACGCAGACACACCGCGCGTGCCGCCTGAATGTTGTAACACGCGCTTCAAGCTGTGCATTAAGAACGTGACAGTACAACAACATTCGTTAACAGTCACTTACAGTATACCTAGATTACACACAAAAAGGAAAACAATATACTGTGTATTAGTCGACGTTTCGGGGGAATGGGCCTTCTTCATGGCAGAGCGATGAATAAGGGCAATTTCAAGAAACTTCGCCTAATTTATATCATTATATGTTTGTCTTCCAGGCCGGTCTTAGTGAAGGTTGCGTTAAGGAAGCAGCGTTTAAAGTCACGTCTTAAGTTGTAGCTGTTTGTGTAAAACTGCTAACGTGCTATCCCAAATATATGTGAAGGTATATATCTATATGGATAGGAGACGCACACATGCAATTGTTTTACCGAGTCGAATATTTGACACCGTAGATAACATGCGTTCTGTACAAATGTAATCGTATTTGCTTGTTAGTGTCACTAATATTAAGGGGTATAATATAAATGACAATATTTGTCTTTATCTGCCAAAGTACGAGATATCATTCTTGGTTCATAATTTACGGGAATTAAGCTCTCGTTCACTGAACCTATCCAACGTAATTACATAAATATCATCGTAGCAGAAAAAAAACATTTAGATTAAGATCAGGGAATAATTTCTCAAAGGATGTTTTGCGAAGCTCAGTCCCGGACAACTCCGGCTGGAATTAACCCGTGATTATGATGTATGTATGATGTATGTATGATGTATGTATGATATATGTATGTTGACCGTCTTTCGCACCCTATGTATCTATCCGTGCTATTCGAAGGTGCGAGGGAAGGACAACAAACGAAGCACAAAAATGAATTCTAAATAAATTAGTTTTGAATCTAGATGATGATTTAAAAGTGATGATATATTTTTTTTTTATAATTTGTCGCATTTACGACGGTCCTATATTGGGATGTTTGTCCAATTTCATTATTCGTCAAATTCCCATTGTGTTGTTGTTACTGTGTTCAACATGTGTCTTTAGTTAACCGGTTATTGTTTTGTCATCAGTGGTCTACATGTATACTTTGTCGTCACGCTTAATGATGCTACAAATCGTTTACGGCCATTTGTCAATCTACTTTCTGCACGGAAGCTCTCCCCTGCCGTCACAATAGGTGCTGATTGATTGGCCATACTTCACCATGCTGGTCAATGCGGGTTGGTTAACAGTGGGGGGTGCTGGGGGATCCGTGGGGGAGGGAGGGGGTATCACTCGCCACTGATTTTGGCTGTTGACGGGAATCAAACTCGTAATCGCCGAAGGTCATAGCGCAGTGCGCTAACCATTGCGCCACCGCTCCACCCGTCACTCAAACCCGTTACGTTATACAGTTATGCGCATTTGTGTGTGTTTCATACACAAAGGTTAATTAATTATGTTGAGAGCCAAAGCCAGTACTTTACTTATAATAGAACACTAACATAATTGTATCCTCGGTCTTTAAACTGATATTTGTATGCAATAATGAATTGTTAAAAAAATATATATAGTTGAACAGGATATGCGTGTCTTACAATGTTACGCAAATGTGTCATTGTGCGACACTTTTGCACAGTTGACATATCTAACATACAGTAATTACATAAAGTTATCGCTGCTGCTGCGTTGGCAGTGATGCAGAAGCAGAAATAACTACACAAACCAGCACCACATTCGTCAATAAACATATATAATGGCTGACGTTTCTGGCAATGGCCCTTCTTCATAACAGAGGCAAATCATAAATAGTACATTAAAATCGTTGCTCAAATTAACACCTAAACTTAACCCTAAAGCAACAACACTCTGACCGGCGTGGTGAAGTATGGTCAAACAACCTCCACGACCACCACGTCTCAGAGAAGGCCTTCATCCAACAGTACATTGACAACGGGATTGTACATAATTATCACTTATTATTTAAGCTCTAGATAAACCTATGCTCAGCGAGGCTTTCCTCCTTAAACAAACAACATAATTCTTGCTGTCATATTATCCGGATTGTAAGACGCACTTTTATCGAGTGTTTTTTTTCCCAAAAACGTTCTGGGTGCGTCTTATAATTCAATAGCTGTGAGACAAGATTTGTGTAACTCTATTGACAGCCGGTATCTTTATTATAAGGGTATTATTGTATTACATATGCGAATGTGCGTGGGGAGCGGTAGTGTAGTGGTTAGTATGGCGACGCAAGTTCGATTCCCGCTCATGGCCAATAGCAGTGACAGCGATGCGGTGTGTAAAATAAAATACATGTGCATCGTATTCAGTGCTCGCTTACAAGTGTCTGTTAAAGGCTATACATATGGCGGTGGTCTTCGTAGTTAATTATGATAACATGAGAGTTGGTGAAACGATTGTACTTTCTTCATGGACGGAACGACAGACACGCCAAGAACACACCACATACACACCACATACACACCACATACACACCACATACACACCACATACACACCACATACACACCACATACACAACACATACACAACACATACACACCACATACACAACACATACACAACACATACACAACACATACACAACACATACACAACACATACACAACACATACACACCTCAACACAAACGCACACGCAAACGTGTGCAAACCAACGTACATCTGAACGCATGCCACGTTACCCACAAAGAGAACACGATTTCACAAATAACACAGCAGTAACATACAGACACTTACACCAGCAAACACACACGTTCATAACAAAGACAAAGACCCCCGTATAGCCTTTATATGGGAAAGTGCTGTTAGCGAGCACTTGTTAAGGCTGGAACGCACGGCACACGAGGTGGTGCGTGGCCGATGTGTACACACCGCACCAGGTACTCGTTTTAGGCTGAGTCGACCTAGGGGAGGCCCAGGACCGGTAAAGATCATCGTCACGAGCGTTGGTGGCCGTGAGCGGGAATCGAACGCGCTAACCACTACGCCACCGCTCCCGACATGTACACACATGTATACCAACACGCGCGTAGAACGATGGACATACGTGCACACACGCGTGTCACCCAGAATAGCACACATACACACACTCACTTACACCAGGCATCAACACGCACACCCCAACAAACGTATACGCCCCACGCCACTCACTCGCACTCTATTCCTAAAGACAAAGATCATCCGTATAGCCTTAACAGATTGTTGGGGAAAGTGCTATTAGCGAGCACATATGAAGGCCCAAACAGTACACGAGCGGATGGGTGGCCAGCACCACGCGCGACCCCACCAGGTACTCACTCAATTCAGGCTGAGTCGACCTAGGGGAGGCCCAGGACGAGTTCAGCTAATCGTCACTGGTATTGGCCGCTCGCTACATACGTACACACGTACACTCACATCATTACACACACACACGCGTGTGTAGGCAAACTTTACAATCACAGACCAAAGTGTGCACACACACGCGCAGAGTTGCACTCACGATCTGGCAGACGTACGCACAAAATTCACACGAACTTCACTTGCACACACACCACACGCACTCAGACGCACACGTGCCTCCAGCAACAAAGACAAAGATCCCCTCTATAGCCTGCAAGAGACTCGTTGGGACAAGTTCTGTTCGCGAGCTTCTATGATTGCCGGCACGGTACACGAGCGGTAATGGAACGCGGGTTCGTAGCGCAGTGCGCTAACCACGCCACTACTGCTCCACACTACCAACGCACATTCGATACAATAACAAAGATCCCCGCATAGCCTTAACATACAATTCGGGCAAGTGCTGTTAGGGACTACGTATGAAGGTCGGAACGGGGCACGAGAGGATGGGTGACTAGCACCACGCCCGGTCGCCTTTGTCTCCCCAGTGGCGATGTTTACACACCGCACAAGGTACTCATTGAGACTGAGTCGAGCTAGGGGAGGCCCATCACCGGTTCAGATCATCGTCACTGGTGTTGGCAGTGAGCGGGAATCGAACTCGTGATAACCGCACTTCGTAGCGCAGCGCGCGAACAGCTCCCCCTCTACACACACACACACACACTCAGACCAACAAAGATCCCCCATATAGCCTTAACAGACTGTAGGGGCAAGTGCTGTTAGCGAGCACCTATGAAGGCCGGAACGGCACACGAGGGGGTGTCCGCGCGCGACCCCAGGGCGTACTCACTGTGCATGCTGACGAAGGGGTCCCCTTTACAGTGGAGGTCCATAATGGCGGGCTTGTAGTCGTTGTGGGGGGCGCGGGGTGGATAGATGGTGGTGGGGTAAATGGTGGGGGGGGGGGGGCAGCGGTGGGGGGAGGTGCCGCGAACCGCTGAGGTACCAAGTTTGATTCCTCGCTCAGCTGCGCTCCAAACCCGCGTCTTGAGACTCGGGGATCGTCATCGGGTCCGTTACATCGGGAGCACCCTGGACGTGACTCGAGGCGGTTTGGTGGTGGGTGGTGGTGGTGGTGGTGGTGTTGGGTGGTGGTGGTGGTGGGTGGTGGTGGTGTTGGGTGGTGGTGGTGGGTGGTGGTGGGTGGTGGTGGTGGTGGTGGTGGGTGGTGGTGGTGTTGGGTGGTGGTGGTGGTGGTGGTGGTGTTGGGTGGTGGTGGTGGTGGGTCTCTTAGCTGAGTTGCAGCGAAAACTGAACAGAAATCTTAAACCGCCACTTCTTCGAATCGACACGCCTCCTCCTTTATCTCGTTCCGGGGAACGTTTCCAGGCCGGGAGCTCGCCCGTTGCTTCCTCGCCACGCACGCCACTGCTTTCCCGATCCTGCGTCAACTCAGCCGTGGAACACCGCTTGGCAACCCGCGTCTTCGTGCTGGGGAGACTTCTCCCGCGTCTCTCCCCACGTCTCACCCCCACGTCTCCCACGTCTTTCCCGCTCTGCGCTTCTGTCTGCGACTCGTCGTGTGTCTGCGTGTCTCTAAATCTCTAGTTCTACATGTCTCTTTGTGTCTTTATACCTCTCGCTCCGTGTGTCTCTCTCCGTGGCTTTGCGCGTCTTTTCGTGCTCCCCGTCTTCCTATAATCTCTGCGTGTCTCTCTTTGTCTGTCTCTCCGTGTATCTCTATCTCTCCCTGTCGTCTCCACCGTGTCTCTCTCGCTCTGTGCGTTCCCTCCGTGTCTCCGATGTCTTCCCCTCGGTTTGTGACTTTGCGTGTCTCTGTCTCTCCGCGCGCGCGCGTGTGTGTCTCTCCGTCTCCGTGTCTCTCCCCGTCCGTCTCACCGACGCACGTGTTCCCGTCTTCTGCTCATGGTCGCCACTCCGTCGCCCCGACGCGAACTCGGGCGGTCGAGCCGCGGCTGAATCGACGGAGACATCGCGAGAGGTCTGCAGCCCCCGGAGTCAACTTCTCCCTTCCTCTGAGTCCAAGCTGTTGTCACACCTCGAACAAGTCGCCTCTAAGTTTGATGATTGCTCGCTGATTGCGATGGTAGTTCCTTAAAGCTCGCCTATCGACTCGGCTACTTGACAGTTTGCATGACCGCGTTCCTGATCGTTACCATCACAACCACCCACCACTGCCATCGCAATCTTCATAATAATGGTAAAAAAAACTGTGAAACAGCGTTAAGTTAAATTCGTGTTATTAATCTCGTCCATTATAAAACTGCGAAATATTTTACGAAATATTTTACAAAATCGCACCCCAAACCTTGACCAACAACATCAATAGCAACGGATATATCATCCAACGTTAGAATTCGAAAATAAAACAAATGGTCAAGTCTTCGAGTCGCGAGTCCCAAGGAGGAGGAGCGTGATGAAGATGGTGCTGACGATGAGGAGGCGTGAAGCCTCTTCCAAATTCCTTCGCGCGTCTTGCGTTTCACTCCCGAGTCTGAGATGAACAGTTATTTGCTTTTTACACCGCTGACTTCTCTTACGGTCACCCGACTGTGTCGTTTGCTCGCTCGCTCGTGTCGATCGGGAAGGGGCATGGGGACGCCCGTGCGGTCTCAGCTCGCGCGCGCGTCAATGGGGATGCGAGCGACGTGAGACGGATGGGCGGGATGAGCTGGAAGAGGGGCGAGGGGCGAGAGAGAGAGAGAGAGGCACGGGGAGGAGGGAAACGCACTGGGGGAAGGGATCTGTGCACAGAGAGAGAGAGAGGGAGAGCGATGAGGAGAGGGAGAGAGAGGAGGAGGAATGGGCCAAAGCGTCACGGGATCTCTGACCAATGGTAACCCGACTTCGGTATCTAACTGATACGCAATTAGCCTCCTAATGGGTCCGGTGACAGCCATTAGGCAGACGCTGGAGGGGATGCGATCGTTGTTTAAAATGAGCAGCGTCGGGGAGCTGTTCTATCCACTGCTCGATGAAGGCATCCCGCAAAGGCGACAACCGTCTCGCGCCTTCTCGCTTTTAGTAAACAATCCAGCGAGTGCCTGCAACGCGACGAGCCGATTCATCGCTCCGTCTCCTCCCTCCGCCCCCCGTGCACGTCCATCGGACGCGTTCCGTTGCTGGTCTGCCCACTCGCTTCCGTTGTGGTCTCCGTCTCAACCACCCGCCAACGATCTCTCTCGAGGAAAGCCGTTATGGATCGAGGATGCGCCGATGATGGCCGAATCTGTCTCTTGGTCTCCTCGATTCTGCTTATCCGCTCGGTCGCGTTGTGTCACGCGTGGCTGTCGTTCCATCACCACCACCACCACCATCATCATCGTTGTGTCTTCCAAGTCGCGCGCTTTCTCGTGTGAACACGGGGAGAGCAAGACGCGCCTTAGAGGACAACCGCAAACGATGCATAGGTTATGAAAGGTAAGCGAGCTTGCGAAAGACGCGCCGCGGGTTAGATGGGACGATGATGCACGTGGTCGAGACGAACGGCGGACTGTCAGGAGGCAAACGAGGGACACACGACCCGGGGTAGAGATGCAGTGACGCGGGGACTGGAAGAGGAGTTGCGTGGATTGTTACATCGTAATGCGTCACAAGGCCACTTGGGAGGGCCTTCATCTAGCAGTGGATTAATCATGGCTGCTGCTGATGATGATGATTGCAATTTACCCGCGAGACAAATGTAAATTATTATCCCGAATCAACAACCAGAAGCGCGACTGATTCGCTCTGAAGGAAGCGGTGGTGGCTCTGGACGTGCCCTGCAGTTCAGCACCGCGGAGGCACCAGCGAGGATTGGTGGATGACGGCGCAGATGCCGAGAAACTCTCATTCCCCTGGGTGCGAGTCGAGTAGGTGGCATCACCCCGCGGCCAGAAGCGTCTCCAGGCCACGCTTTGGGGAGCCCCGCGCCGTCGACGTCACGGTGTCAGATGATGACGATGATGACGTCATACTGCCGGTTTAGCCCCGAGCCCGCACCCCCCCCCCCCTCCTCATCCTAATATGGTGGGCCCTGTCCCTGGCATCCCATGGCTCGCCAAGAGAAGGCGGTACTATTAAACTATTAAACTATTTTACCAGGTAAGGCCCACTGAGCTGAATATGTCTTATTCAGAAGCGACCTGGCCACAAATTATAGCTCAACAAAGTGGATTATCACGTGGAAATGTATGGCAGCCAAACGCTCGAAGCGCATGTTTCTAGATGTGGAGGGAAAAACCGGAGGGCCCGGAGAAGAAAAATAATCCACGCGACCACGGAGAGAGAGACACCGCAAACTCCAAATATACAGCAGCAGCGGGCGTCAGGGTCGGCCTCGAACCTACGAACTCCTGTATACCAGGCGAGGTGGTTAACATCTCATAGCCACCGTGATGATGATGATGAGAGAGAGACACGCAAACTCCAAATATACAGCAGCAGCGGGCGTCAGGGTCGGCATCGAACCCACGACCTCCTGTATACCAGGCAAGGTAGTTAACATCTCAGCCACCGTGATGATGGTGATGAGAGAGAGACACGCAAACTCCAAATATACAGCAGCAGCGGGCGTCAGGGTCGGCCTCGAACCCACGAACTCCTGTATACCAGGCGAGGTAGTTAACATCTCATAGCCACCGTGATGATGATGGTGAGAGAGAGACACGCAAACTCCAAATATACAGCAGCAGCGGGCGTCAGGGTCGGCCTCGAACCCACGACCTCCTGTATACCTGGCGAGGTAGTTAACATCTCATAGCCACCGTGGCTCATCCGTCCCTTTCATATGGGATAGAGTGTTACGCTCTCGCACGCGTGGTGGGGTTTTCTCCGGGTGCTCCGCTTTCCTCCCACGTGTATGATAATCACACATTGATTGGCTGAAAACAATTTCATGATACGGAGGATTGCAGAGCTTGGGCAATTGTTGGTAGCGCTGCCTGGCTGCTGCTGCCTTCCAGATTTGTCCGTGCGTCCTCGGCGACTGTGGGAGATCCTATTTGTATGAACGATGACGAGGAGACTCCTATGAATACAACTAAAATAAATATAATGATGCTGGCGTGCTGAATTGCATGTCTCAATGCATATATATTTTCCAGATCGTTGGTAGATTGGGAGGGGTCACTGCAGGTGGGAGCGGGGGGTGGAGATAGGGGTAAAGGGTGGAGGTGACCCTTATCATCCAGCAATGGATTGTAGAGGGAAGCGGGGGGGGGCTGTGCAATGTAACCAATGTTCCACTCCGGTGAGGGTTAACGCGCTTTATGCGGCACGCAGTTCCAGAGGCGGTGGTTTAATGAATCCGTGCGCCACGGTGCAATGGAAGGGGCTGCTCCCACCTCGACACAGCTGTTAAACCAACAGCCTGTGCATGTCCGCCGGCTGTATTTCCACGTGTAAGTAGTACATCGACCGCCCGTCCGCCTTTGGATGTCAGAGGCGAGAGACCGGCCGCGTGTTTGAGTGTGTGTGTATTTACTTATCGTGTGTGGAAGCTACCTGGTCTGTCGCTCCGCACGAAGCTTCAAGTCCTCTCGGCCACGGTCATTCCATCCCTTCTCTACGCTTGCGAAACGTGGACCCCCCTAATGGGGCATCTTAGCAGATTGGAAACATTTAGGCTGGCCTGCCTACAATCCATCCTGGGTTTAACGAGGCTGAATTGTGTGAGCAGCTCACAAATCCTAGAAAGATCTGGGCAAAGTCCCATCGGTGAGCTCCTCCGGCAGGCAAGGCTGCGTTGGCTGGGTCATGTTGCCCGCATGCCCAGCCACCGCATGCCGAAACAGCTTTTGTTCGACCGGATAGAGGGGGCTAAACCGGCGCGGCACGGGCTAGAGAAGAGATGGAGTGATGTGGTACAGGAGGACGTGGAGCTGAGTGGACTTGCCGATGACTGGTACCAGAGGTGTCAAGATCGGCCTCTATGGAGGAGGCTCGTGAAGGGCTCTACTGGGCAGTTGGAGGCAGTCGCCCTCCAACAGCTGAAGGCAGAGGAGCGACGCTCACAACAACGAGCGGAGCGCCTGGCGGGCTAAAATACAGCAAGTTGGCACAGTAGGGGGTACAGCTGGTGGTGCATCTACCAGTCATCTCAGTCAGCCAACCCATGGCACCTACTGGGTCTGTCCCGAGACCTCCTCCTGCCAGCGAGCCTTCGACAC